GGGCAGGTGTGGGAAGGGGCTCAGAAGACGAAAAGGGGTGAAGGCGGAGGGGCAGGAGCGCAGGCTGGCAGGAAAGACAGACAAGGGGGGACACGATGCGAGGCGTCCGAGGCGAAAGGAGTTCGCGGCTTGAGAGACGACACAATTCGGGAAAGGCGGCCGGGATACGAGGGACAGAGGGAGGGAGAGAGGGAGGGGGAATCCCCGGGACAGAGGGAGGAGGAGCCACACAGAAGAGGAAGCCAAAAAGCAGAGAAGTGCCCCCCGACTTGGTTGGAAAAGGGGGAGAAGGAGCCCGGGGTGCAGCTGCCCCCGGAGGAGGGCAGTTTTGGAGTCGAACCTCCGTGTGGGGGCGGGGGAGGGCTGTGTGGGACAGGGGGGGAGGAAGGGGGGAACCCCCCACCACACAGGGCAAAAGGGGGGCCCGCGGAGTAGGAGTCGCTTACCTCCGGGGGGCCCCCGCGGAGGGGGTGCGGGCGGTCGGGGTCGGGCTGCCGACGCCGCCGCCTCAGCAGCAGCGGCCGCTCCGGGGCTCCATTGGCCGCCTGCGCTTCCCTGACAGCGGCCGCGGCGGCTGCACCAGGCCCCGGCGGCGGGGCTGCCCTCGGCGCCGCCTGAGGGGGCCTTCGAGCGGCCTCAAGTTCGGCCGGGCTACCCAAGCTCTTCTTCCTCCCTTCGCACAACCAAGATCCCCCCCCCGCAAAAAAAAAAAAAAAATCCCCGGTAGGGCTTGATGCTTCTAAACCCAAGCCCTTTTCCTTGGGATAGGCTTTCCTGCTTCCCCGACGCTCAGGCCCCTGGACCATCCCATAGTAATCTACGGAGTCCAGGGAGCTGCCTGAAACACGCCTGCTCAGAAATAGGGAAGGGGGCGGGGACAGATGTTTGGAAGCGGGAGGGGGCGGGGGAAGAGGTCAAGGGGCGGGGCCTAAAGGGGAGGAGCTTAAAGGGGAGGAGCCTACGGGGGGGGGGAGCGGCCAGTCTTCGGGAGGCGGGCCTGAAAGGTGACGTTTGCGAGGCTAGGGAAGCCGACAGGGAAGTACATTTTCCTGAATAAAAGGGGCTGGGGCTCCCGGCGGTGTGGAGTGGCGGGCGGGCTTGGGTACCCATTTGGAGGAGGAACCCAGACACACTGTGTACTCCCCACAGGTACATGCATGTAAACAAGTCCGTTTGAGTTAGCGAGTAATTGCAATCAGCGCCTGTACCCCCTCCCCGCTCCTCTTCTTAGTGAATCAGGCGTGGAATGGACGCCGGGGCCCCGTGGGAGAAGGAGAGAGGGTGGGCGGAGGAGATAGTCACCCTCGGATGCCCTTTTCCTGTTCATGTTAAAAGTCGGTGCCCAGATGACGCCCCTTATCGCGTCGGGAATCTTGCCTACCTTCAGTGGTGCGACGTGAGGCCGCGGTTCTGCCTGGGAAGGCACCACTCGCCTGGGTAGCCTTTGACCTCTGGCCTCTGGACCTCGATCCCTCTAGGGAGCGGCTGGACAGGGCCAGTTTGGGAGAGGTGAGCGAGATGACCGAGGCTTCGAGGGCACAACCCTTTCTTCAAAACAGAACGAAATCATGTAAAACTAAACGAATAAACAAAGCCAACCCTGCAGCCCTGGATGGTCAACCAAAGGACTTATGTGCAGGCATATAAGCCTAACCAGTGGCCATGGACAACAGGGGGGTGGGGGCATATGTGGGGAGGGGTTTGGGATGGGAATGGGGGGATGAGGACAACTGTGTGATACCATAATCAATCAATCAATAAAAATTTTAGTAGATTATAAATTATCTTTAACTTCATTTATAATAGAGCTAAAATGAAAGATGACACGGGGTAGAAGATAAGGTAATGGGGAACAGGGTAGTGGGGTGAGAGTAAGAAATGGTAGATAGAGAGGAAGCAATACAGTCCCCCAAATCTTAGTTTAGCCCTTCATCTAATGAACTGAAGATTGCTTGGACTACAGAATAACTTGTTTCATATTTTAAAAATCGTGTTTTAAAATTGGACTGCTTAAAAACTATCCTATCACCAGTGATTTATTTTTCCGTGTGTCTATCACCTCTACTGTGTCAGAAGCCTCGTCCGGTCCCTCATCCCCTCCCACATGGATAAAGGCCTGGCTGGTTTCTTTTGACTCCATTCCCACATCCTAGAACGCAGACTTTATACCTTTTATACATTCATTCAATCGACACTGGTTGTGTATTCTTTTAGTTTATTTCCCACTGTTGTTCATACACATCCATTTTGCCAACAGGTCTCTTTATTGGGTTATTCTGCCATGCCTGCACCCCCAGAACCTGCTTTTTCTGGAATGCCTTCTTCTTTCCCACCAATCTGTCTACTTAAAGGATTAACTCAAGCCTAACTTCTCCATGAAGCCTTCCCAAATTACTCAAAGTGACCCCTCTGAATTTACATTCAGCTCTTGCTCTTATGCGGTAGAGTGGGTATCATGATTTAGCTTTTCCCCCCCCCCCCCCCATGTCTTATGTTGTTCTGTTCTTATTTAACTTGTCCAGCTAAATCCCTACTCACCTCTACTGGGAAGTCATTCCTGATCCATGTCTGAATTATGTACTATTCTTCTGGGTTACCACAGCTCTCTGTGCTTACTTTTTATATATATATATATATATATATATATATATATATATATATATATATATATATATATATAAATTGATTTTTTACAGAGAGGAAGGGAGAGAGATAAAGAGCTAGAGACGTCGATGAGAGAGAAACATTGACCAGCTGCCTCTTGCACACCCCCTACCGGGGATGTGCCCGCAATCAAGGTACATGCCCTTGACCAGAATCGAACCCTGGACCTTTCAGTCCACAGACCGACGCTCTACCACTGAGCCAAACCAGTTTTGGCTCTGTGCTTACTCTTAACATAACTCATCCACACTGTGCTGTGATTACTGAGTTGAAACAGGGCCCAAGTCTACTAGCTTCTAAAATGCAAATATCTAGCACTTAAAAAACAAGAAGGAAAATATTAAAACACAGTAACTGACTCCTACTTCTGACAGCATGGATAAAGGGCTTTCCCATTAAAATACAACTAGATCCTGGACAAATCATAGCAAGCATGATATTTAGCACATTGCTGAGCTTGCTAGAAAGGGAAATCACAAAAAGAAGAAAAAAATAAGATCAAGCTGAAACCTATGAAGGATGATCAACATGCAGTAGGAAAAGCAGGTCTGCCCTAGGTGTTAGGACAAATGCCAAAACCAGTATTGTGAGCAGAAGCTAAACCTTAGGCCTAACCAAGGAAGGAGAGCAAAACTGGTACTCCTGAATTAAACTGGGACTCTTGAAGGGGCCAGCACAGTCCCAGGTCAAAAGCAACTTTTGGCTCCTAGTTTCTGAAAGTAAATACAAATCCTCTCTGGAGAAAGCTATCCACAGCTGAGACCCTCTGGATTCCTGTAGATTAAGTTTAACAAAATGTGAGCTCGAAACTTCAACATGGAAACTATTTAAGGAAACAAGCTACCACAGGCAAAACAACAAAACAGATTTAGACATTCAAGATAAGTTACAGAATATAAAATAACAATCCCAAATTTCCAAGAACTGGTATCACAGAGACCACATTCTCTGGGCACAAAAGATTAAGCTGAAAATATATTTTAAAATATATATATTTTAAAATATTCAGGCACTTGGAAATTATAAAACTCTTTGAAATAACTCATGAATCAAAAAAAGTCATTAAGGGTAATTTAAATATTCTTAGAACTAAATAACAAAATACTTTACAACAGGAAACTTGGGAGAATGTAGAGAAGCAAGTCCTTAAAAAACTTACACTAGGGAAAAAAAGACAGTTTGAAAATTACGGTAATTAGATAAGTATCAAAATTAAGAAATTATAAAAGAACATAAAATTAAATCTAAAGAAACCAAAAGGAAGGAAATACTATAGATAAGATCCGTAATTAATGTAAATGGAAAACGAATACACAAGGGAGAGGGCCAACGAAGCTCTAAGTAATAACTGGAGAGAAGTAGCCCTGGCTGGCATGGTGCATGGGGCTGAGCATCCTCCAAGGCACCAAAAGGTTGCAAGGGGTTGTGGGCTCAATTCCCAGTGGGGGGCGTATGGAGGCGGCAGATTGATGTTGCACTCACATTGATGTTTCTTCCTCTCTCGCTAAAAATCAAATTATTTACTTAAAGAAGATAGAGAAAACAACAAATTTCAAATTTCTGATGGAGTTGATTAAAGAAAGCACAAGTAGTAGAAATGAAAAAGAGGACATGACTACACAGAGCAAAGGCAAAAATTTTTTTTTCATTTTATAAAAGACATAAAATTGCCCTTGACGCGTTACTTAGTGGGTAGAGTATCGGCCTGCAAACTGAAGGGTTCTGGGTTCGATTTCAGTCAAGGGCACATACCTAGGTTGCAGGCTGGATTACTGGTCTGGTCAGGGTACATACAGGAAGCATCCAATTGATGTGTCTCTCACGTCGATGTTTCTCTCCCTGTCTCTCCCCCTCCCACTCTTTCTTAAATACTTTACCTAATTATACTAAAAAAGAAATGAAAACCCAAATAGCCTATAATTATTTAAGAGATTGGATTAATAATAGTTAATATTTTCCCCACAAAGAAATGCCAGGCTCAAATGGTTTAACAGGAGAGTCTTACCACTTTCAAGGGATGGTTCATTTCAATCTGATATAAACTCTCCCAGGAGGAAACAGTGCCCAATTCAGGATATACAGACCAAAAAGACCATTTTAGAAATCTTGCTAAAAACAAAATCACTAACATCCACAAGAATGCTCATAGCAGTATTGTTTTATAATAGCAAAACCTGGAAATATCCCAAAGCCCATTGATAGGTGAATGGAAAAATAACTTGTGCTTTATGTACTGATGGCATAGTATAGAGATGAAAATGAATGAATCATAGCTACCTACAATATAGATGAACCTTAGAAATAAATGTTAAGTGAAAAAAAAGCCAACTACAGGATATTATTAGAGAATAAATTTTTCATAAAGCTAAAAGCAAAACTGAACATTTTAAAAAGATATATACATATATATATATATTAGGTAATTAATAAACACAAAATTAAAGTCAGTAGTTACCTCTAGAGTGAGGCAGCGACTAGGAACACAAGAAAGTCAATGATATTTCTAATGTTTTAATGTATAGGTTGGGTGATGGGTCATAGGTAGTCATTTAATTATTATACTTCATAATTTATTCATGTTAAATATATTTTATAGATAACAAACATTACATATTATAATTTTTAAAAATCTGCTGTGGTGGAAATAAATGAACAATGAAGTCTCCCTGAAAGAAAATCTACATTTCTTGGAAAGAACCAAGATTCCCTGACAGGAGCTACCCTATGCAGAAGACAAAGTAGTAGGTCCTTGATAAACATTGGGTGGATTCCTGCTTTTCCTACCGACCCAACCAGAGGGTCTGGATCCCCTTCCTATTGGTGATCCTGATACGCAGAGCCACCTCCTCCACACAGCTGGCCTACACCTGGCTAGTCCTGACACCTGGTGGATACAGCACGAATTTAATCAAATGATTAGAAGCGAATCTCACTCTATCTAGTGATAGTGGCAGAAGGGTGGGAGACAGGGAGGCAGAAAGGAGGAGAAACGGAAGTTCAGAAACAAGAAAAGGAAGGAGCTCCATCTCTGAGCTATAGGTGATGGGGGGGGGGGGGGGGGTGTTAAAAAAAAAAAAGGGTTGTCATCTAAAGGAGACTAAAGAGATCGTTTGTAAAGGAGAGAGACTTTCCTCTCATTTCTTCCGAGACCAGAATAAGAAGAGGTTGCAGCTGCAGTCAGAAAAGTGCAAGACTCTGAGGGGAAAAGCAGGTATAGCTCATCTTAACCCGGCAAGCTAAAATCACTTGTGCTTCATAGCAGTGGCAGGTGGCAGCCGCCTCCCCAGGAACTTCCCCTCCCAGTCTCTAAGGAGGCAAACCCACCCTTACTCCACAGGTGCAGCCCAGATGGAGGCCACACAAATCAGCACATACAGGCCCCTGGCCACAGGGATTGGATAGGGGTGGGCATGGGACCGTTCGCCTCATCAGCGAATCGGAGGGTTTTTGCTAAGATTCTTGGCAGAAAGATGCCCTGTTTCCGATTGGACGTAAATGAGGAAACATTTTAATTCTCGGAGTGCTAGCAGCCAGAAGGCAGCCCAGGGTTCCTGGGATCCTCCAGAAGGCAGAACAGCGGGGGTGGCGAGGCAATCGGGGATTTAGAGATGTGTCGAGCCCCTGGATCGGCTTTACTTGGAGCCAGCGCTACCTGTGGGCTTGACAGTTACATGAGCCAGTCAGTCTTTACTTTTGAAGCCAGTTTGAGTCAGGTTATCTGTTCCTTAAAACCAAAAGGATTCCTAGCTCATACATTCATCGTATCACTCCATCCCTATCTTCCCCACAGGATCACACACGGACTAGCGACTCTACAGCCAAGGGTATGGAGCTGAAAGGCCAGAGGCAGGAAGCAGGCACTGCGTTAAGACGGGGCGCCTCGGCTGTCAGAAGAGGACGGACTCCCTTTGGAAAAGAAGAGCCGGAGGAGAAGCAAGCAGAAGGGCTTTACAAGGCAGACAGGCAGCGGTCACACCCGGCTACGGAGTCATCACGGGGGTGTCGCTTTGGGGTCTCTCTGCTCATGGGAGGAGGAACTCGGAAGCTTGTGCCCCCTGAAGTCTTTATTACCCTGTGCTCCGGTATCTGCCTCTCCCTTCCCCGCGTGGAGAGCCTCCTTCTGGCTCCTGCTGCCCCTGATGACGCTCACTCTCTGGTGAGTGAGAGGAACCTTCTCTTCCCCTCCTTTGGCATGGCGGGAGCTGCAAGAGCTGGAACTGGGGGGCCTCCCTCCTTTCGAAGCAGCACCGTCTCCCTGACCTTGGACGAGCACCGGCCCCTTCTCGGCCTTCCCCCCTGGCCCCGGCCTCTCTGGCCCTCCGGCGGAGTGGCTCTCCTCTCTGGGGACCCACGTCTCCCGCGGTAACCTGGAGGGCTGGGGAGGGTCCGTGGCAGCCGCCGACTTCTCAGGGGCAGCGTTCCTTTCCCTACTTCCCCCCGATTTCTTCCGAGGGCGCCCCCGTTTCCTTTTGGCATCGCTCCCTGGATCCTCCACATCCTGCTTGGCGGCTTTTGCTGGTGGGTCCTGCCCGTTGGTCTCACTCGTATTAGCTTCGGCTGTCCTCTTGACCCCCTTGTCAGGAGGTCCCGGGTCACCGCCTACGCCCACCTCCCTGTTCTCCGTGCCCAGGGGCGGGGTGAGCCCCCCAGGTGGAGCTGGCCCAGGTCCAGGCCCAGGCCCAGGTCCAGGTCCAGGTCCAGGCAAAGCAGGAACCGTCGGTAAGATCATATTGATGATGGGCATGGCTGCCTGGGTCCCCCTCACTCTACTGGGCACGGGCAGTGCAGTCAACTTCAGAGTGCCCGAAGGAAGCCTGGGCGCCACCATGGATGGAGAGACGGCGACATGCTGAATCAGTGGGCGAGGGGCCCGGGGGAGGAGCAGAGGCAGCCGGGCCACCAGGGCATTAACCTGAGGGTTATTGGCTGGTGGGGCCGGACTCTCTACTACAGTCTTCTTCCGCTCTCCTTGCGCCGAGGGACCAGCCCCAGGTCGGGGCTCCGGCTCCGGAGGAGGCTGAGGAGGAAAGAGAGGAACACAGTCAGCGGGAAGACTGGGCCCTGGAAGGAGCAGGCATGGGAGGTGAAAGGAGGGGACCCCCGGAGGAAGGGTCCATGAAGCCTGAAGGACAGGGCAGCAAGGTCAGGGGCTCCAACTCCCTACCTGGGCCGGCCTCTCTGGTTTCTTCTGGGCTCCGCCCTCTGGGTTCTCCACTCCATTCTTGGACTTGGACGTCCGTTCCCGGGGGGCATGCTCGTCCTCTTCTGCGGAAGCGTCGGAAAAAGTGGTAAGTGGAAGAGGTGACGGAAATGGAGGAGGAAGGCAATTCTGACAGGCAGAGGCAGTGGGAAGAAGGCGGCCTAAGGCGTGTCCTAGAAGGGCCTCGAGGAATCGAAGGCAAACTCAGGGTGTCTCTGTCCAAGGGGAGGGCTTTCGAAGTCGGAAGTGGCGGGGAGGGTTTCTCGGGACAGAACACACAGGGTCCACCCACCGGCAAGCCCCATGGCCTTGAGCACGTGGGCGTGCGCAGACCGGGCGGAGATGAGATGATGCTGCAGCAGGAAGCGGGCCACCTCGACGATGGAGCTGAAGGACCGTTTCAGGATCCGCTCCGCCCAGTCGCAGGTCAGGGCACAGGCTGCCTCGACCAGCTCATCTCGAGGCGCTGGGGTTACTTCTGGGCCCATTTCTGGCTGCAGTGGGGAAGGACATGCCTCCTAATACTCCAAACTAACGCACCCTGGGTCCCTTTTGAACATCCACGCGGACCACAGTAAAGACCAAACTAGGGATGGGGGTAGCCTGTCCCATCCCGTCCCGGAAACCCACATACACTCTTCCTCCTCTGCCCCAGCTCAGCCAGAGAGTGGGCAGAAGGCGCATCTGTAGACTCAGAAGCTACGTGCAGAGTCACCTAGGCTGTGTCAGGCTTCAAAACATGTCCCAAGACCTCTGACTTCTACCCTGGAGAGGAAGAGTGCCATCGGGGTTGTTACTTACACTCTCAGAGCCCTTGAGGTCAAGGCCAGGCAAGGGTGGCATAGAAACCAAAGTCTTTCTCCGTATGCCACTGTAGCAATATCTGATGGAAGTTAAGGAGAAAAACCAACGTCCGGGGATCGCCGAGCCCCTGAGTGAGGCTGGGCGGTGTCTACTCCTGGCTCTCCGTATCTGTGCGCGTTCCTCCCCAGGCCCTCCGGCCCCAAGCTCTCCCGTCAAGGATACTTGGACTGACCCCGGCCGCCAAGCCTTCGGGCCTTGATGTCCGGGAAGATCTCTCTGATGATTTTGCCAAAGTTGGCCGTGCTGAGCGGGCGGCAGCAAGCGAGGCTCTCACAGTACTTCCTGAGTGAGGGGTGGGGGCAGAGTGGGAAGATATTCAGAGAAGGAGGTCATGGGTGGGTTCAGAGGGTCCCTGGGGATGAAGTTTGGGAAAGCTTTCTTAAGAAGCCAGGCTCTTCCAAGGCAGGGAGCTCTCCAGAGACAACACACCCCTCCACGCCCCCCGCCTACCCACCGATAGGCATCGTAAACGCTTTGCTTTGGTAGGCAGGTGTCCGTATGCTCTTCCAGGTGGTTTCGGATCCACTTGCAGGCATACATGTACTCCTCATTGTTAGGTGTGCTTGGCTCTGAGCTGCAGGAGAGTTAAAAGGAAAACCGTTACTAAATTCTCAGCCGTTGTCCTATCCGGACTACCTATTCTCTATCCGGACTACCACTTCGTTCAGAATCTACTTTTGATGAATCAGTGTAGGACAGGGACATTTCTTCTTCATCAAGGACAGCCATCATGCTGAAACCGGTTTGGAGGTGTGCAGGAGGCAGCTGATCGATAATTCTCTCTCATTGATGTTTCTAACTCTCTATCCCTCTCTCTTCCTGTGAAAAATCAATAAAATACATATTTTTTAAAAAGGACAGCCATTGTGTGAGTATTCCTATTCACCCCACCCCTTCCCAGGGAGCCTTTAAGAATCGGAACCTCTGACAACATACCTTTTGTCTCCAGTACTGGGCCCTGAGGGGAGCTGAAGGTAGAGATACAGCTTGTCATTGTCTGAAAATTTCTGCACATCTTGCTGAGGTAAGGAAGAACAGAGGCAAGAGAAACAATAAGGCCAAGAAGGACCCAAGGGTGTGCCCTCTGATCGGTACCAAAAGGTCTAGCCGACTTAGAGACTGCCAGGCTGAAAAAAGTCCTCAGAATGACTTAAGGCTGGTGCCCGCTGTGCTCTGAGGAACCCGATGGGCCGCTATGGTGACAGGGGGAGCCGAGGGGACTGAATGATCTTACAACAGGTCAGAGAGAGATGAAGTGAGAGATAGATGCTCAAGGTCAAATTGGGAGTAAGTTGCAAAGCCAGTTATCTTCTGGACAGGGTAGACATCAACTGCCTCTCTCACAAAAAAAACTTTCATTTGCTCATGTCTTCTCCAACCTCATCCCCCACCAATTCACTCTCTCTATTGCCCTTTCCCCAAAAATACTCACCAAGATTCCCTCTACTTTGTTCTGCACGGCCTTCCTGTGGAGAAGAGAAAAAGCGGGAGATCAGACAAAATCCCCGCCCCCCCACTCCCCCCCAATCCTGCGTCTGACTGCTAGGGAGCGGAGAAGACAGGTGCTCATGTGAAAAAAGAGGCTCCCCCTAGTCGGATGCATTTGTTCAGGGAGAGGCAGTTCACCTGCAGAGGAAGTGGGGTGCTCTCTAGGGATCTCTCCTGGGGGTCTATATCCAGGATTTGGAGGCAGTGACCAGTACTTACGAGATGGAACCCCGGAGCCTCTGCAGAAGCGTGGTGGGTTCCCCCGCCTCGGCCCCACCAGAGGGGGCCCGGCCCGCCGGCTTCGGGCTCTTAGTGTCAGGTTCATCTTCTGCCATCCTGGCATGAGGGCGGGAGCTGACAGGAGGCAGGCGATGGAACGTCCCTTCCCTGGAGACACCCCCCCCCCCCCAGCCCACCCCTCCATCCTCATCTCTCTACCCAGAGAGAGAGAAGCAGAAAGCAAGCCTCCGAATTTCTCCAGGGATTTTTTTTTTAAATCTCACCACTTGCCTTCTCCAAAAATGAACAATTATTCCATTACTTCTCCAGATATATATATATATATATATATATATATATATATACCCCAAAAGACCTTTGCCATCTCCATTCTATCTGCCCCACCTCCCTGCAGGCTCCTATACGTGGAAAAACTGTCAAGGACGAGAGAGATGGGAGGCTAGGGAATCCACGCGAGGGAGAAATGTTCATTTCCGACTCTGACCTCATACTGCCCTTTTCTCCCTCAAAAAAAACAACCACCATCAAACGAAGTTATTCTCATTCTCTAAGCAGGCGCCTCACCATTGCATTTTGCCTGGGAGGTCGGGAAAGATACGAACATCTTCTGTCCTTTCGGCTGGGGGGAGAGAGACTGGGCCCAAGTTCTCCTGGCTTCATCTCAGCCCGCTTCCCCCTCCCCAAGCCGCCAGCCCCTGCGTCATCCCCCGCCCCCAGCACCCGATCCCCACGCCCCCTCCCCCGGCGGCCCTCCCCCTCCATTAATCCCGGGCTGCTGCAAAGCGGGGGGTTCAGAGGAGCGGAACTCCCGGGCCGGGCGCAGGAAGCCCGGCTGCGGGGGATGAGGTCCCAGGTTCGGGGCACGTGCACGCGGGTGAGGACGCTGCTGGAAAACACAGCGAAGATGGTTTTTTTTTTTTTTTTCCTCCTTCTCCTCCCAGCTCCAGCGGGCCCCCTCCCCATCCTGGAACAGCCGCCTTCCCGCCCCAGCAACCACCAAGGTAAAAGGGAGAAAGAGAAACTACCTCGTAGCCACCACCTTCACTCCAGCCCAGCCCCACGGTCCCGGCCCGGCGGCGGGCTCGTGCGTTGCTTTATTTTCTTTTTTCTGAGTGGCTGGGGCCGCCCCGATCTGCCCGGATACTCGGCGGGGCCGCTCTCTCATTGGTCGCCGCTGCCACCCGGAGACAGAAGGCGCCGGCTCGCCCGGGCGGCAGCGCGGGTCTGCCTGGCAACAGAATCTGATTGGCCGACAGGGGAGGGAAAATCCAAAATTGGTCTTATTCGAGTCCAGAGGGGGAAGTCCGGGTTAGGTTTCGGTTAAAACTGGGGTCGGTTGGGACTGCAGGTCCCAAGAGGTTCTTCTCTTAAAGGGACCGCAGGACCAAAGTCCGGGGCGCTAAGCCCCCCATTTTCTTTTTGCTCTCTCCTTCCGTGTTTCGGTTTTGCCTTCGTTCGTCAGAGCTACTGGGAGAAAAGAACCGATGGGTGATAAAAGAAGAAGAAGAAAAAGATAACTGGAAAAACTATGGGTAGTAGTGATGGAAATTCACTGTAAGCTCACATAACCTCCTTTTGATGAAAAATAAATGAAGGTCCTCTGACCCCCATAGACAGCAGGCCCACGGTCTTCCTGGGTGGAGGCCTGGAAACCTCAGCAGCTGGACTAAATGAGCTGAATTGTCAGCTAAAATGCTCCAGGGTTCCTTGGTTTCCTGTGTCTCCTTTATTAACATCTTAAAGACCTTGAGTCTGTGTGTGTGTGTGCCTTTTGATCTGAAGTGAGTCTTTTGTAGACAGCATATTTATTTATATGTCTTCTTTTGAAGAAAGCAAACTTGTTACATTTAAAAGGTCAATGGTGTAGGCCAGTGGTCGGCAAACTCATTCATCAACAGGGACAAATATCAACAGCACAACGATTGGATTTTCTTTTGAGAGCCATCGTTGCAGCCCCATAGGTCTGCACAGGTGAACACTAGAATTGTGGCTGACTCCCCAAGGGGCATGCTAGACGCCCATCTGAACTTTTTACTCTCAGAGAATTTCCTACGGAATAGGTCATGGGTTCTTAACCCTCCCCGCTAGTTAGGCTTTTTAGGTCGTGACTCCGATGGAAGCGGTGAACTGTGAAAACTAATAAAAGGGAATTTCAATTACAATTAGAGTCTGGAATATCTCTAGAGGGAGCTCTCATACTCTGAGCAAGAAGAGAAGACCTTGCATCTCTACCAGAAAGGTGTTTCTGGTAGGCACAAGGGGAACGAGGGGAAAAGTGCTGTGCAGCCAACCAACAGCCAACCATTGGCACCCTGTGAAATGACAGGGAGTGACTTCTGGTGTGGGTTTTTAGTGTTGACAGATCCGTGAACTTCCACTTTTCTAATGATGTCGTTGACTCACCTCCTTCCTATAAAAGACTTCCATTAAAAAATATATATTTTTCAGTTACTTAGCCTCTGTGTATTTGTGTTTTTCATTTTTAAAAATTTTTTAATTAAATTATTATCTGTGTACATATTTTACCATTGCCCCCCTCCCATACAAACCCACCTTCCCCAAAGTTTTGTGTCCATTGGTTGTACTTATATGCATGTATACAAGTCCTTTGGTTGATCTCTTATCTCCCACAGATCTCCCTCCCCTCCCCGCTGTAATTTGACAGTCTGCTTGTTACTTTACTGTCTCTATATCTATCTTTTGGTTCATCATCAAATTTTTTTTTTTTTGTAATGGGTTTCTACTTTCATACTATTGTGGTCAGAAAAGATTATTTTTAAATATATTTTATTGATTTTTTACAGAGAGGAAGGGAGAGAGATAAAGAGCTAGAAACATCGATGAGAGAGAAACATCAACCAGCTGCCTCTTGCACACCCCCTACTGGGGATGTGCCCACAACTAAGGTACATGCCCTTGACCGGAATCGAACCTGGGACCTTTCAGTCAGCAGGCCGAAACTCTACCACTGAGCCAAACCGGTTTCGGCAGAAAAGATTTTTTGATATGCTTTCAAACTTCTTGAATTTATTGAGACTTGTTTTGTGGCCTAACATGTGCCCTATCCTGGAAAATGTTTCATGTGCACTTGAAAAGCATATATATTGTGCTGCTTTGGGATGAAATGGTCTAGCCATGGTGCTTCTGTGGTGGTTGCATAAGTGTTTACAGGTATTATATCCTTTTTAAAAAAAAACAAAACACAAACATATTTTTATTGATTTCAGAGAGGAATAGAGAGAGAAATATGCCCTGACTGGGAATTGAACTGTGACCTCCCAATCCACAGATCAACGCTCCAGCACTAAACCATGCTGACTGGGCTCTTTTCCCATCTCTTAACCTTGAGTCTGTGTGTGCCTTTTGATCTGAAGTGGGTCTTTTGTAGACAGCATATATACGGGTTTTCTTTTGAAGAAGGCAAACTTGTTAAATTTAAAAGATCAATAGTGTAGGCACAGCAGCCATGTACTGCCCTCTGTTGGCCAGGTAAGACGTATGAGCTATGAGCTATGAGGTGCATGGATCTGTCAACACTAAAAGCCCACACCAGACTGAGACCTCTTCCCAGGCTTGCTGTTAGACCAGAATAAATTCTGTAAGAGTCCGTGTTTTGGGGGTGCCTTCTAGGAGAAGTCACTCCCTGTCATTTCACACTAGAAAAACTGGCCTCATCCCAAGTTCTGTAGTTCAGAGAGTGTGTATTGAGCTCCTGAATCTGGCCTTGGGTTCTAGGACAGTCCTTGTCTGAGGAGAGGCCTGGTCAGGAAACACTGGAGTGCACTCCTCCCCACAGCTACCCAGGGTGGAGGAGGCTCGGCCCCTTTTATGCTGAATCCATGCTTACCCAATTCCAAATCTCACCCTCACTGGACACTTGGGAAACTGAGGCCCACAGAGATCCAGGGTATGTAACAGGCACCATCCAGAGGTCAGCAGTGCTCCGACCTCTTAGGCAAGGGTTCTAACCTCTCCCATAAGGTTGGTTTGGAAATTAGAAATCCAAACATATTGGGAAGCTCTTGCCTATTTCTGCCTATGTGGGGACTGTATTTTTCTGGGATCCAGTAAATGAGTGTACACACACGCACACACACACACACAGACTCCCTCTCTCTCTCTGTCTCTCTCTCTCTCTCTCTCTCTCTCTCTCTCTCTCTCTCTCTCTCTCTCTCTCTCTCGATGTATCAACTATGGGAGGGATACTAAGAGGAGCATACACAAAGGAGGTGACAGCAGAAAGAAAATACAGTCTGGAGGCACTTCCTATACATGACAGCACTCCTCCAACTTTATACCTATCTTCCCACATGTGCCTGAACAATATTATTTCTAAGAAGTCCATGTCGGTGTAATATCATTGTGCGGGCAGGAGACAGACAGGCCCTGGCAGTCCCAATGGCTCCTCCAGGTTCAAGAAGAAGGGGACTCTGGGAAGGGGGTCACAGGAAGTGAGGTCGCTTCCCTAAAGAACTTAGAACCCCCTGTTACCAGGCAGCCACATTCTAGCCACAGCCCAACTGCCAGTCCACTTGGCAAGAGACACTTGGTAGTTGAAGATGTCCTCTTGCTGGATCCCCGGTTCTTGGGGCTCCTGCTTGCATAGACCCCGCAGTGGGAGTTTTCCCAAACTCTGGAGACGCTGGTTTAACCCTCCTCCTACCTGGCGTCTCTGGCCGTTCTCCAGGCGGTCCCCTCAGGTAGCCTGTCAGCCCGGCTGAGGCCGGGCCACCTCTGGGAGCCGTCCCTGGGCAGCCCCATCCCCTCCCCTCCATGTGGGGGAAGAGGGGCCTGAAGGGAGGACCCCTGGGCAGGAGCAGGTTGCAGGGCGGGGCACCTCCTAGTGATGCTGTCATGGTCACGGCCAGCGCGGGGCTGGCAGGGTGGAGAGGGGCTTTCCGAGGGCCTTTCCTCTGTGCCAGTGAGGACCCTAGGCCCTCAGCCGTCACATCTTTCCTGTCCTCTGTGGAGGTGTGAGTGAATGTGGTAAATGTATCTGGAGTGGGAAGAACAAAGGGTCTGCGAAGCACAGACTGGGCTCTGAGACTTTCTGCCCGGCGGCTGGGCGCTGTCTTTACAGAGCTCCCCACGGGAGGCCAGACAGGAGGCCAGACAGGAGGCCAGACAGGTGGTCAGACAGGAGGCCAGACCGGAGGTCAGACAGGAGCTGGCTGATGGGGTTCCCCCACAGGAGGCACAGGGGCCCCACGCTGCCAAAGGAGAGCAGCTCGGTCTGAAGGTGAGTGAGGAGGCCCGGGTGACTCTACCTCCAGGACCCCAGCAGTCAAAGGGGCCCGGGTCCCAGAAGCCACCCTGCTACTCCCCGGAACCCCTCCCTAGAGTCCTGCTCCCAAAGGAGTCTGGGTTTCCCTCTTCTCCCCCAGCCCACCCTCGCTGTGCAGCCCCTCCTGGCCAGGAGCAAAGTCACTGTGCGCATGTTTGTAGGACTATCAGAGAGGAGGCTTTTGTATCAGTCCACCTCATGTTCAGGCAAGAGGATTTTTGCATTTTTCTACAGATTTTCCTGTTTGAACACCCATCCCCAGGTGTCCCTGTTGGCCTGACGATCCTTATATTCCTTCTCCCAGTCTTACCCATCATCTGATTAGTAGGGATGCTTTTCCCAAAAAAACACGGGGCTCATGGTACCATATCTGTTGCTTTGCAATTTTCGGCCCCGGAGGCATGCTTCCCCATGGTTCCCCCAGGTCAGGAGCTGGGAGTCTCCCAGGGCTGTATATCATACTCCCAGGAGGACTGGTTACCATGGCAATCCAGTCCTTCCCTGCTGTGGGACCTGGAGTGACCCCCTTCTGTTGCCATGTCAACGATGCTGCCCTAAGTCCTAGTCTCCTGACCCCTCCCACCCCATGATAAACTTCTGTGTTCTCATCTTGAGCATGGGCTGCTTTGTCAGAAATCCCAGGGGTGACACCATTAATACAGGGACGTGCCGTCGACCCACAGCTAGCAAAATATGACCTGAGTCACTAAGGTGCTTCGTTGTTCCCCTCCTCCAGTTCTGCTTTTCATGCCAAGAACATCTTCTCTCCTGCGAGCATTGGGGTCCCTCCTCTTGCCACCTGTCACCGAGGGCTTGTGGGTTCGGTCTGAGCTGCAGCTGCCAACCCACCAGGTGGTCCCCGGGATGCTGTTTTGACTGCCTGTCCCTCCTCTGTCCCACCCCAGGGGCAAAACGCATCCACCGGGAACACAAATAAAGTCTGTATGGTGCAGATGGCCCGGGCACGCCGGCTGGGCCAGCTGGTGGAGTACCTGGTGCCTGCCGTCCTGGGTAGGGACCCCACCTTCGTGCCCGCCTTCCTCTGGAACTACAGAGCTTTTGCCACCACCCAGCAGGTGTTGGACCTACTGCTGACAAGGTGAGCACCCGCCCCTCCACAGCACAGCGGGCATTTGGGCACTTGCTGGCTGTGAGTCTTCAGAAGGTCACGCTTCTCCTTGAGTCTGTGTGCTCCTCTGAACAGCGGGGGGAGCCCAGGAGCAAACTCATAGGATAATTATAGAAACCTGTGAGGTCCTCCCTGCCACGTGCTCTCTGGGTGCCTGGCCACTGGAGAGGTCTGGGGGGGGGGGGGGGGGGGATATGGTGGCAGTGGTTGTGCTAATTGGTCATTTTCTCTTCCTCATGAGAAAGTCTCTGCCTCATTCCTCACTTCCCTCAGGGCCTGGGGCTGAGCTGTCTTCTCATTGGAAAGGAGATTGGAGGTTTCATGAGGGTTCTCTGTCCCGGGTGAAGCTGGAGCAGGAACCCCAGGGGGGAGCAGCGGTGATGAGATACTTGTGATGGGGCTCCTTCACTCAGCACATGTATGGGCAGGTGCAGGCATGTTCTAGGCACAGACCACAATCTAGTGCACAGAGCGGACCCCAATCCCGCCTTCCAGAGCTTCCTTGTAGTCGGGAGTGAGACAGTCACCCTAGACTCCACAGGCAGGCAGCGTCCACAGGGCAGTCGATGTGACGTCCTCCTGGCCTCCTCTAGGTATGGCTGCGTCTTCCCCTACGCTGAGGAGGATGGCGGGCCTGTGGACCAGCGGAAAAAGTGAGTGGGCTTTGGGTCAGAACCGTGAGGGGAGGATAGGGACCCCAGGCTCCCACAGGGATACCCTGGAGGTTAGTGTAGAAGGAAAGGCCAGGCCTCAGACTCTGCTGCCATGTCTCTCCCCAGGGCCATCCTCGCCATCCTGGGCATGTGGCTGGACCAGTGCCCTGAGGATTTCTCCCAGCCCCCAGAATTCCCCTGCCTGGGGACGCTGCTGGCCTACCTCCGCCTCAGTTTTCCAGGCTCAGACCTGGAGCGCCAGGCCCAGCTGCTCCTTTTGGAGCTGGAGAGCCGGGAGCCCACAGAGGCAGAGGCAGAGGGTAAGGAGGACTCGGGGTGGGTGATGTGGGTGCATGGGGAGGAGACGGGGCTCTGCCACACAGAGAAGAGCTGTTAGAGGCCAGGGGCAGAGCTGGCTCAGATCGCCATGCCCAGGGCCTGCAGTCCGGGAGGACTTCCTGGGTGGCTCTTGAGCTGGGGACTCCATCGATGGCTAGGGGAGAGTTTCTGTCTCTAGAAGGCACACCGAGGCAGTCACGGTGATCACATGTTCTCTTCTGGGATCTACAGAACCAGCTCTAGAGCAAGAGCAAAACAGACCTCAAGAGGCAACGCCGGCTCCAGGGCCTCTCCAGAGCCAGAGCAGCTCCGGGCACAGCCTTCCCTGACCTCCAAGAGGCAGCACCATCTGCAGCTCCTGTAGGCCTGAGGTCCCCGGTCCCGGGCCACAGCGTGGCAGAGAGGGCTCCCCCTCGACATGCAGTTTTTAAATATTTGTGTTTCTCTTACATATGCCTAAAGTTGTAATGTAGTTTTGTATAATATTCAGTTAAAATAATTTTTAAAATAAAATCTAATAATATATTAATAAAAATAAAATTTAATTTAAATAAAATATTCAAGTCTATGATCCTTCAAAATGTAATTTCAGCAGCATTAAGTACATTCACAATTCTTTTTAAAAATATATATTTTAGCCAAAACCGGTTTGGCTCAGTGGATAGAGCGTTGGTCTGCGGACTGGCGGCGGTGGGAGGGGGGAGGCGAGCACCCCGGGTTCGGTCAAGGGCGTATGCATTGGTTGCTGGCACATCCCCAGTGGGTGGTGTGCAGGGGGCGGCTGGTTGATGTTTCTCTCTCATTGATATTAGTTTCTAGCTCTCTGTCCCTCTTCCTTCCTCTCTGTAAAAAATCAATAAAATATATTTAAATGTATATATATATATATATATATATATATATATATATATTTGTGTGTGTGTGTGTGTGTGTGTGTGTGTATATAATTGATTTTTTTACAGAGAGGAAGAGAGAGGGATAGAGAGAAACATCGACCAGCTGCCTCCTGCATGTATCCCACTGGGGATGTGCCTGCAACCAAGGCACATGCTCTTGACCGGAATCGAACCTGTGACCAGTTCACAGGCTGATGCTCTAACCACTAGCAACTGGTTTCGGCTTGTTCTTTTTGACAACTAGCTGGTCAAACCCACATAGAACCCAGGATAAATTTATAAGCCAATTTTATGATATTTTCAGAGAACATGAAATTGTTTTCGCTGTGATTCTTTTGCCTGCAGAATGTTTTTCATGTTCTCATTCCTGAAATGCAGGATTTGGGACAGTTGTGGTAATCCTAGAGATGCCCATTAGAGGACAGAAGAAAGTTAGGCAGCATCTGAGAATAGCCAGGGACCAGCTGTCCATGATTCTAGGATAGAGCACAGACCTTCCTCTTACGGGAAACTCAGACACCAGAGCCTGAAAATGGTTTTGATTAAGTTAAATAATGGATCAGAAATCTCTCCCAAAGTGTTTTGTTTGCTTTTCAAAGGTAGTAAGGGGACAATTTTCATTTTTATCATTTTGTATTTATATTTCCATGTTGGGTCTCATGTAATTTTGCATTTTTAAAATTTGTTTTCACGCTTGGCATCAAACACATTATATGTAAAACTTTTGAAGGCTGGTGTTGTGAGAATCTCACTGGAATGACACTAAGTCTCTGCCTTTTCCCCTCAGGGTTATTTTATTTTATTCCCTCCCCCTTATTTTATTATTTTAAAAAAATACATTTATGTGATTTTTTACAGAGAGGAAAGGAGAGGGATAGAGAACCAAAAACATCGACCAGCTGCCTCCTGCACACCCAATGTGCTTCCAGGAAGTCAGACACTGATACCAGGTAGAAATCCGGGTGTACAGGAAGGGGTGAAGGACGAGAGAAATGGTTCCTGCACGGGAAAATATAAAAGATGTAAGATGTCTGTCATATCACTTACATCTCTTTAAAAAAAACATGGGATAGATGCAACAACAGCACTAACGGTGGATTCTGGGGCTAATAGCACATGCCAAGGGCAATGCATGGCGACCACAGCATAGGGGCAGGCAGGAGGGAAGTGGGAGAGGTACTCCACCACCTGAAGGCAGACTGTGGTAAGTGACAGGTGTGTGCTCTAGAGCCTAAAGCAGCCGCTGAAATAACAAAGGAATGATATATCCTAAGTCAACAAAAGGAGAGAAAATGGAATTCTATAGAAAGCATGAAAACACTATGTTAGAGCAACTGCTCTCCTGGGACTCTCCCCTATAAAATGCTTCAACAAATGGCCAGATATTTGTACAAGAACGAAGACTACAGCATACTTTTAACCCCACATTAATTTAAAAAGTATATGAAAAGTGTTCGGAAAACACTAATACAAACAATGACTGCCGGGTTTCTCTTGACCTGTTTTCTGCCCCTGATTTTGGCCAGGTCCTGGTGTGGTGCGGCAGGCTAGAAGAGTCGACGGTAGCAAAGGAGGTGACCTTTTCCCAGTAATGGCTGAAAGAGAGTGCAGAGGAGAGATAACAAAGGTTTGGCTCTTGCTTTCAAAGAATAACAAAGGCGTCCCTGGGTGGGCTCGAACCACCAACCTTTCGGTTAACAGCCGAACGCGCTAACCGATTGCGCCACAGAGACGGGTGGCGAGTGAGAGTGTGCTCTCAAGGTAGCGGAGACCAAGTCTTCAGTCACCGCTAGTAGAGCCACATCCCTGTTCCTGGACAGAGGACCGTGTAGACTCCAAAACCTCGGAAAACCGTAGAGGGGCGGCGGGGGGGAAGAGGTGAGTTCCCGCTGCCCGTTGATCGCGTTTGAAAGGCAGTGGGCGGCCGAACGGTCTCCCTGGCCTTGCTCTACTCTCTCCTTAGATGCCAGCGCCCCAGAGACCCCGAAGCGGGACTCCCTGGGCCTGAGTCGAGTGGGGCCCAAAAGCAGCTGACCGACCCGTGGGCTCCAGTGATGACTTCCCGTTTGCTTCGGCTGAAACCGACCTCACCGAGGCAGCACGGTGCCAGCCCTTACCCGGCGGGGCGACACCTTCCCCTGAAGGGGTGCCGGGCAGAGGGAAGAGCTGGTCTGTGGCCCAGATAAGAAAGGGGGCTGGCGGCGCGGACGTGTAAAAATTAAGCTCCAGGCACCACGGAGGCCGCTGCCGTGACTCGGATTCGAACCGAGGTTGCTGCGGCCACAACGCAGAGTACTAACCACTATACGATCACGGCCCGCCACGCCCGCAGCGCCTGCCCGCGGCCTCGCTCTGGGAGCTTTGGCGTAAAACCATTCCGTTCGCTGCGCTTTGTTCCTGAACGACTGCAGGGATCTCTTTCCTGCTCTTTCTGTGTCCCCTCCTTCCCGTCAGTTCTGATGATAAAACAAAACAGACCCCCGCCCCCTCCTCCTCCGAGCAATTCTCCTCTCCCCAAACCCGGCCCCGGCCTCTGCCCCGGGCTCCTGGTAAGGCCCCCCGTCCCAGTCCCGGTCCCCGTCTCCCCAACACTTTCCCGCCTCCCCGCGTTGGCCACTGGGACCCAGGCCTGCCCACCCTCCCCAGCTCCCGGGTGGCCCCCGTGCACAGCGTCCGAAGATGCTGATTTTGGGAACAAAACCAAAGGGAAGGCCTCACGGTAGAAAACCCCACGATCGCAGGACGAGTCTCAAATCCCACGTCCAAGGGCCCCGGGCCCCGAAAGCCGAATGGCCGGGGGGGGGGGGGGGGGAGGAGAAGAGGAGGTCTGCGCCCTGATCAGAAAAATCCCGAGACCAGGAGCAGCGGGGACGGTGCACCCCGGCTGGTCCTCAATCGGGGGCGACTTAGTCACCCATCCCCAATACACACACCCCCGGGCCTCGCTGGGAATCTAGAGCTCGGCGGAGTCCTCCGCACGGAACCGATCGGATCCCGGTCCCCCGTGCAGACCCAGGGCGGCACACCGGACCGACGGGAGGACACCTGCCTCCTTGGATGCGGGGAAGCGCCGGCGACCGAGACAACTTCACGTGGTTTCTGGCCAGAGCACCCGAAAGGATGGGCTTTCCATCAGCCACGCGGGGGACATGCGGGGCGCGGGGCGCGGAGGGGGGTCAGGGCCGCAGAGCCTCGCTGGAAAGCTATTGTAGTTCCACCCCACTCTTCGGGTCCCGCACCCCCCAGAGTACCTGCTGAGGTTGGGGATCCCGGGGTCTCACCCTGGGCGCCTCTCCTCTCGCCTCCTCCCCGACCACTTGGTCCTCTGACCCGCCCAGGAGGCCTTCTCTCCGGGCGGCAAAGGGCGCTCCCTCCCGGCCGCTCGGAGGGGCGGCGGGGGCAGGACCACTCGCGCCCGGGCCTGGGGGCGCTCGGCGGGCTCCTCTGGGGGGGAGGGCAGGGAAGCATCCCGGGGAGGACGGGTGACACGCCCCTCCCCACCTCCTGCTCCAGGTAAAGGCCATCAGAGCGCGGGAGAACTGTCACTCTCCTCCGAATGGCAGAGGCAAGGCGAGCTGCCATCGAGTCCCTGGTGGTCTAGTGGCTAGGATTCGGCGCTTTCACCGCCGCGGCCCGGGTTCGATTCCCGGTCAGGGAACATCCCTTTAGCCGCCGTCTGACATCTGTCCTCCCACAGGAATCTGCTGTGCTCCGCGCACCGAGGGAGCCTTCCACTCCCGCAGGAGGGACACGGGGGCGCGCCCTGTGCTGCTCGGGGCTCACGGGCCTCGCTTTTCTCTCCGGCGGCCGCCACCTCGCACACGGGGCTTCCGAGGGCCCCGGGGCCTCCCGCTCGGGTTCACAGGGCCGGTGGTGCGGAGGTGGCATCCCCGGGGGCTGCACCCGCCGCGCCGGCTCGGCCGGGCCCCCCAGCTCGGCGGGCGCGCACAGATGTTCGCTCGGCTTCGGAAGAGGCGCTGCCGCCAGGGGTGACCGTCCGTCCGTCTGTCTCTCTGGCCGGGCAGGAGGTGGCGTGGGCCCCGATGGGAAAGGCTGGCGGCCGCCGCAGCAGCGGGAGGAGGAGGAATCACACCCGCTTCACACCGCCCGCCCGGGGTCCAGGCCCACCAGGACCGTTATCTCTAAATCCGTGGACTCTCCCAGGTGCGGGGCCGGGGCCCCTGTCCCTCCGGAGCCCGGCGGGATGAACGCGGGGTCCTCTGGGGCCCGGGGGTGGGGGGAGAGCAGACGGGGAGCCCGGGACCCCGCCGCAGAGCCGCAGGGGGAGCGGCAGGTGGCAGCGGGGCGTCAGGTCTGGTGCCGCTGCCGCCGGGCGGAGGGAGAGGGGTCTCCCGTGGGCGTTTGCGAGGCCGGGGTGAAGGCCCCGAGTGCAGGAGGAGGGACGGAGGCTGCTCGGTGCTGAGGGCGCTCAGGCCCACCTGACAGGGAGACACTTTATCACGAGGGCGGTTCTCCCGGGCCAGGCTCGGCCATGCACCCGGGGGTGGTGACCCCACGAGCTCTCCCCTGGCCTCCTCGGTGCCCGGGACCACACTGCACCCCTCCATACCCTTCGCCCTGCCCAGCGCCTCACCCTCTCCCAGGCTCCCATCCTGTGACCCCAAGTAAGTGCACCCCTGTGCCTCCTGCGCCGCGCCCCCTCCTGTCCAGACGGGCACACCCACAGCCACCGCATATGCCCCCACCCTGGTGCGTGGCTCTGGAAAAGCGTGACAGACGTGTCCCCATGACCCCCCACTCCACCGTCCTTCTCCCGCCAGGCCCGAGGTATTTGTCCACGAGGTATTTGGCAAGATGAGGACTGAGCCCTGCCTGTGCCTGGAGGCTCCTGGCTCCCTTTCCAGCGCGCCCTTTGCCTGCCGAGGAGAGCCAGCTGCAAACGTTTATTTAGCTGCAAAACGGAAGGACACTGGGAGAGAAGATTCAAGGGCGGCTGCTCAGAGCCTTTAAGGGAAAGTCGTGGAGGCAGAAGTGAGTGAGCTAGCTGGGCTGCGTGGACTCAGAAAAGTTCAGAGACAAAAGAAGGGCCCTTAGAGCTTAGGAGAAAGAAAGCGAAGATGCATGCCTGAAGGAGGAAGTCACGTGCATGCTGGGGGAGGGGGGAGAGAGAGAGAGAGAGAGAGAGAGAGAGAGAGAGAGAGAGAGAGAGAGAGAGAGAGAGAGAGAGAGAGAGAGAGAGAGATTGAGCTCATGCACTGGGTCATTTGGTCGTTTGCGTTAAAAAATTTTTAAAAAATATATTTTATTGATTCTTTACAGAGAGGAAGGGAGAGGGATAGAGAGTTAGAAACATCAATGAGAGACAATCATTGATCAGCTGCCTCTTGCACACCCCCCACTGGGGATGTGCCCGCAACCAAGGTACATGACCTTGACCAGAATCGAACCTGGGACCTTCCAGTCCGCAGGCAGACGCTCTATCCACTGAGCCAAACCAGTGTTGGCTGCCTTAAAATTTTTAAAAATATATTTTACTGATTTTTTACAGGGAGGAAGGGAGAGGGATAGCGAATTAGAAACATCAATGAGAGAGTAACATCAATTAGCTGCCTCCCGCACCTCCACAGGAACACCCACAGGCTAACACACACACACACACACACACACACACACACACACACACACACGGACACAGGAAAAGGGATCCAATCCTCTGGGCACTGCTGAGTGTCCCATGCACATTGACCAGAGCCATGTGCCCCCAAAGCCCTCCACCCAATGCTACTTCAGTGGTGCCATCCCCCCATGTCCCTCTGATTGTGCTGGGCAGCAGGGCGGGGCTGGAGGCACCGTGTTCACACCTCCCTCTGCTCCTGCTCCCTGCGGTTCCTGGATCCCCAGATGCTGATCACCCCTTGAGAAGGAAAAGCATGGCTGGGCCAGCAGAATGCTCTGCACTGCTGACCCTGGGACCTGGCAGGCTGGCTGCACTAGGGAGCAGGGGCAGAGGTGGACAGAGGCCCTGCTGAGAGAGGTGGTCAGTTGTGCTGGAGGCCAAAGGGAGGGCACCCTCCTGGCACAGTCCTGGGTAATCCCCCATGGAGAATCCACAATTACATTCACCAAGAAAACCCATTTCTGACAGCGTAAGTAGCCAAAGAAAAGCAGGAAACTGGGCTTTATCTGAGCAAGAGACACTTTATTGTTTCTTGGGGTTTCTGGAGGCCTCAGGCTGGGTGGGGCTCACTGATCATCCCCAGAACAAAGAGGGGCTCCGTGGCTATGATTGTGGTAGTCCGTGGCTATGACTCCCAACACCGACAGGAACTCGGAAAAATCGATCTTCTTATCCTTGTTCTTGTCGTGGTCCTCAAAGATGTGGGCCAAGAAATCTTTGCCCCTTTTATCCTGTGGAAAAGACAAATTCAGTCCCAAAAGTGTTATGGGTGGAAAAGGAGGAGGAGGCAGAAAGGAGGAGGGGGAGAGAGACACCTGGGGCCGCACAGGTGTAGCTGGTGTGGGCCAGTGGAGGTGTCTGGGGATAACGGGGACATTAGCATTCCCCTGCAGGTCACTGAGGGAGATTCCTTGGATCTAATATCAGCATGAAAGAGAGAAGCAGTGCTGGTGGGCAGACTCTGCCCAGAGCCCCACTGATCAATGAGCTGGTGGGTGGGTGGTCTTTACACCCAGACCTGCTCCCCCATCCACTTCCAGGACCCCATCTACCTAAATCCTACCCAGAAAATAAAGGTAGGCCCTACCCCTTGTGTCTTCATTCCTAACCCTCCTCTCCTGTCTCCTATCTGCCTTCCCGAATCTTCCATGCTCAGTGCCCTCAGTAGCCTCTCTTTTTGTAACCAGTTCAGTATATTCTAACTGTCAGACTAAATCAGGTCTACAAATGAGCTTTTCATTGTAATGAAAGGTGTTACATTTTATCAGCCATGGAATTTCCATCGCCTTCCCTTGGATCTCAGAGTACTAATGGAAGCTTCTAGAGGCAGAGCCTGAGCCTATGGGCTTCAGTCTCCTGGATGGACAGTGACCAGTGGGAGGGGACCCATTCTTCACTCTCCTATTTGACCACCTAATAACCACCCTTGATCTCCAGATGCCTTTACTCTTGGCCACCTGTATCATCTCTTTCATCCTGATCATGACTCAGGAGAGTCCTCTTAGGCCATTTTGCAGATGAGAATATGGAGGATGAGAGAATGGGATTGATTTGTCCAAGATCCTCTGCCATGCCAGGCCCCAAGCAACCTTGAGAAGTCACCCAGACTCACACAGGCCGTGAGGAAGTTGGGGAAATTCTCCTTCAGCATCTTCAGCACGCCCGGCTTGTCAATCTTGTCATCAGGTTTGGTGTATTTGTGGAACAGGTCGATCAAGTCCATCACAGACTTCTCAACTGGAGTGTTGCTGCTCATCTTGGTTTTCAAGGAAGCTGCCAGAGAGAAAGACAGGACCGTTGTTATCCTTCCCCCCAGGTCAGGGCCCCTAAGTCAGGACAATGGGTGGGAACTGGGCATCCAGTGAAGTGAGGCTCAGGTGGAGCAGAAGGAGCTGTTCACCTAGGAGGTGGGGTGAGAAGCTCACAAGGAGGAGAGTGTGACCAAGGCTGGGGCCCGGGCCCGTGCAGGGCAGGGCCCAGAGGAGATGGAGGAGAACACAGAAGCCCACTGTGGACAGAGCCACAGGAGGCAGAAGCAGAGAGGGTAGGTACTTCCACCGACAGTCTGGACCCCAAGCAGAGAAATAGGACAGTGCAGCCCTCACACCCCAGACTTTCCAAAGCACTCAAGAAATGTGGGCATCTAACAAAAACTACCACTGTCTCCCTATCTGGGAGAAAGAACCCTGCTGCTATGTCCCTAAGGGAAACCACCCAAGGCCTTTTGTCAACTTGGCCAAGGCCTTAGCTGAGCCCTGTGCACAGAAGGTCACTGGCCATTCCCTCAGCTGGGGAGGAGGTCCAAAATCTTAGCTTATGGGTCCCTGATCCATGTAGTGGCAGGTCTTCTCACCAGGACAAGGTTAGTGAGACTCCTAGGCTTGGGTTTAGAAGAATCTTCCAGACTTTGATAGAGATACCCAGTCTCCCCAGAGGTTGGGGTACAAATTGAATCTTCCCCAACCTGTGGTCTGAGAGTCAGGTGAGTCCAGAGAGAAGAGAAGAGAAGGAGAGAGGAAGGGTCATTTCCTCAGCTCCCCCCAGCGATGTTTCCACAGAGTGGCCACACAGAGGACAACAGAGCAATGGGAGCATTGGTCCAGCCATCTTGTAGATGAGATCCTCAGGACCCCAGTGAAATGAAGTTACACAGCCCCACTACAGGCAGAGCCCCATAAGAGGCAGGACCCCATAAGAGAGGAAGAGCCCCATTTCAGGCAGAACCCATTATATCTGGACACAAGCTCCTGAGTCCTCTCCCAACACTGGGCCCTGACAAATCCCTTTGGCAAAGAGACAGGTGCAGACTTACCAGAGCTGATGGATGAGGTGTCACTGAGGAGAAGGCAAGTGTGCTGTGCATCTGGGCAAAGACCGGTCCTTTTATAAGGCCCAGTCTGGCTCCTCCCAGGCCCTGGGAGCCCTTGGGTCATATCTGTGTACTTCCTGGACCATTGTCCCACTCAGGTGGGCGGCACGCACCTCGGAGTGTGTGCTCATCATGTTCCTGTAAAATCCCAGGCAACTCCCAAGGGAAAACACCTAGAGCTTTCTTCTGTCCCTCACTTCACTGGGTTCAGGGGTGGAGAAGACAGTGGGATGTGTCTTGAAAGCACAGGGATTGTGGTGGAGAAAACTGGGTTTCTGAACTTAAAGAGGAGGGGACTCTGAAAGGCAGCATGGTCTGTGTTTGCTCATCACCCAGTCCTTCCACAAGTTTGTTCTGACATCTAACAAAAACTCTCCATCCAGTGGTTTTGCATAAGGGAAGGAGAACACATCATTTAAGTTTATAGGAAGGCATCATCATGGGAGGGGAGGCAACTTTGCCCAATCTCCTGCTGGCTCATTTCATTGTGGTCACCATCCCTGAGTCAGACAGTGGTATAGGCTATAACGATACTACGCATCACCTTACCTGTCATATCGATATTCCTCCTAAACCTTCAAAACCTTATGAGATGGTGCTGTTGCCTTCATGTTGAAAACAGGGAATTGAGGGATTAAAAGATAAGCAAAGTTCCCATGTGTACAAGGCTAACAGCATGCTCAAGCTGTGACCCCCAAAAATCCTAGCCCCCCTACTGGACCTCTGGGTCACTGCAGGGCCTGTGAACTCAAAGTCCAGGGTCACCTCACTCCCATCTTCACGTGGGGTCCTCATTGGAGGGGTAGAAGGCAAACAGTTGGCATGACCCACAGTGACAGACCAGAAAACACAGAGAGAGCAGTGGCTCAGCATGTCACCTGCTGGAGAGGGAAGACAGGAAGTCAGAGTTCTGAATCCTGGCATTAGCCCCACACTCTAAAAATTCACTTACTAGCTCCAGGGCCCATCGGGCCCTCCAAGGAAGCCACTGTCTGACTCAGGGATGGTGACCACCATGACATGAGCCAGCAGGAGATTGGGCAAAGTTGCCTCCCCTCCCATAATGATGCCTTCTTATAAATTCTTCAATGATGTTTCTCCTTCCCTTATGCAAAACAGTCTGCTTAGGAGTCAGTGGCTCATGCCCTGAGGTCTGTTATGTCCTAACCTGCTGTGGAAGATCTAGTTCGGGAGCAGGAACAAGAGCGTGGAGGTCAGGTTGAAACCTGGGGACCTCTGGGGACATACCATTGCTGATTCACTGAAGAGTCCTTGTTCCTGCTCTCTGTTCCCCTTAGAACATCCGCCTATGGAGTAAGGGGATTGCTCAGGCATTGGGCACCCTGGGACCAGGCCCAGCGCTGAGCTCCCAGGTCAGGCCCCCCAATGCACTGGGCCTCCATGCTTCAGCCTGGCCTTTCTGTCCCCAGTTATGTCCATATCTGTACCAGCTCCAGACCTCTCTGGATCACTCATTTAATTTATTCTCACCTCCAATCAGCCTCCCAGGAAGGATACACAGAAAACCTGGAGCACGAACTGCCTTCGGGCAGGGGAACTGAGATGGCATGCCCACTTTGGCCCTGGTGTAGCTTTTGAAATATGAACACAAGGTCAAGATACTTTAAATTAGTTTTTAATTGTTTTAAGTTTTGCTTTGTTCAACCCTGGCCTCGCTTTCAGAGTCTGAACCATGTATAGTGCTCGGCTTCCGAAATCTAAACATCATTGATCTGTTGCAAGGTCTCTCTCTTATTTTACTTATATACTTATTTTCTCTTAATTTTCAATACTATTCAATTTGCCCCAAAAAGCCAAAAAAAAAAAAAAAAGAAATATATGTTTTTCTGTTTATTTTTATGAATACTCATCAATGTCAATGATTGTTTTGGCCTGTGTTCTATCTATGCCCTTTATTTGATATAGATTAATCACACAAAGAATACAAAAAACTACAATGTATCGTCCAATGAATTATCTCTAACACCTGTGACTGCTTAGGGCAATGAATAAAATATTGCCACTACCCCTACCAGTCACTGCCCCTTTTTTCTCTTCCCCCAAACCATTATCTGGACTTTTATGACAAGGCTCTCTCTGTTTCATTTGTATTTTACCACTTAAGCAAATTTACTCCACGGGGAACATATTCTGTACATTCCTCTATGTCTGCCTTAGTTTGCCCAGTATTACATTTATAAGCTATATCCATGTAGTACTGTTTGTTCATCATTGTATGCTAAATATCTTGGTATGAATATCACATCATTTTCTATAATTCTGCTTTAGATATCACATGCCTTAATTTCCTTGTTTTCCTTTTGTATGGTTTCCAGCTCAGGTGACCAGGGGTTTTGACCTCTGACCTCCTGTTCCTAGGGGAATCAGTCACCCTGTCTGGTGAGGGTGTGGAAAGGGCCCAGGGCAGGCCCTGCTTGTGTAAGTCCTGGGTGTTTAAGGCAGAACAAGGGGATGAGCCCATGTTTCAGGGACGAACTTCAAAACAGCCCTGTTGATTGTCAGAGACATTAGTGATTTCAACTATTATGACTGACAGACACGTCCCCCCCCAGCATCTCCCTTGTCTCTCCCACCACTGAAAGGCTGTAAAAATCTCCCAGTCCCTGAGCCAGTAGTCCTTTGGCAACATGGTCCACACAGCCAGGTCATCAGAAGTGAAGACAAAAAGAATAAAATAGAAACTGTGGATGCTGGAGATGTACAGTGACACCCTGTATAACCGAAAAAGAGAGAAGGAGAAGTGGACCGAGATACCTTAGAAGTGGTATTTGAATGAATGTCAACACCTAGTGTTCAAGCACGCAAACCAGGGAAAGAGATTCCAGACCATGACAAGTGAGCAAAACTACAGTGCAGGACAGACATGACACCAGGAGGACAGAAACAAGTGTGGAGCCAAGGGTGTTGGAAGTGAGAGGTTTGGGACAGGCACCATCTATGTCCAACCCAGTACCAACCCCTCTTCTGAGCGAACCGAGCCCAGTTTTGCTTGGGGTTAAGGTGCCCAGTACTTCCATGTGTGTCTGGTCTCATCGAAGCCATTCGGAGAGTCTGTTCCCTGCTTTCCCTGTGCCCCTTGCAACTAAGAGTGAGCATGTGGCCCACCAGTTCTGCCCGATGGAACTGAGTGATGCTGGGCCAGGCTTCAGGGGCTCTGCTTTTCTGGCAGAAGGAGACAGGGAAAGCTGGCCCTGCCCTGCCTCAACCCATGCCTGGGTTGCTGGTCCTGGACACAGGCAGTCATCAAAAAATACTTTCCCAAGTGAGCCGAAGAGTTACAGCTTCATAAAAACCTCCAAATGAACGATTTTAGAAGCTTTAGTCATAATTGCCCCAAACTGGAAGTAACCAAGGTGTCTTTCAAAAGGTGAATGAATAAACAAACTGTGGAACAGCCATACAGTGGAATGTTATCCAGCAAGAAAAAGAATTGAGCTGTCAAGCCACACGAAGACATGGAGGAAACTGCCAGGATAGTGCTGAGTGAAGGAAGCCATTCTGAAACAGCCACATACTGTATGATTTCAAATATATGACGTTATAGAAAAAGCAAAACCATATTGACAATGAAAATATCAGTAATCATCAAGATAGGAGGGGATGACTGGATAGGTGAGGCACCTGTGATTTTTAAGGCAATGAAACTACTTTGCATGATACTGTAAGGATGAATATGTGGCATTACACATTTGTCAGAAACCATAGGATTTCACAATACAAACTGGACCCTAGTCAAACCATGGACTTTAGTACATAATATTGTATCAATATTGGTTAATTAATTATAACTAATGTTCTACACTAATTAAGATGTTAATAAACAGGGGACATGGTAGGGAGAAGGGATATATAAAAAATAAACTCTCTGTTCCAAAATTTCCTGCCAATCTAAAATGGTTCTAAAAATTAGAGTACATTAATAATAAAAATAATAAGATCGTGTTTCTTTTTTTTTTTTTTTTTTTTTTTTTTTTTAAATATATTTTTATTGATTTTGTACAGAGAGGAAGGGAGAGAGATAGAGAGTTAGAAACATCGATGAGAGAGAGTCATCGATCAGCTGCCTCTTGCACACCCCCCACTGGGGATATGCCCGCAACCAAGGCACATGCCCTTGACCGGAATCGAACCCGGGACCCTTCAGTCCCCAAGCCGACGCTCTATCCATTGAGCCAAACCGGTCCCGGCATTAATAATAAAAATAATAAGATCGTGTTTCTTTTTATTGTAAGCCAAGTTTGACTGAAACAAATAGCCCTCAAGAGTTATCTAGGAGTACCCTCCTGACCTATGATGCTGGATTTATGAGCAAGCATTCAATTTTCTTCTTTTCTATGTTTTTCTGGAGCTCTCTTACAATCTTATCTAAAAGCTAGCTAATAAACTGAATCCATTGTTTGAGAACTAAGTCTCTGAATGTGAACTTATTAGCTTTTTAGATTTTCTGTCCAACAGGAAATTACTTAACCAATTTATTTTATTTATTTTTAAATATATTTTTATTGATTTCAGAGAGGAAGGGAGAGTGTGAGAGAGAGAAACATCAATGATGAGAGAGAATAATTCATCAGCTGCCTCCTGCATGCCCTACACTGGGGATTAAGCCCGCAACCTGGGTATATACCCTGACCAGGAATCAAACCGTGACCTCCTGGTTCATAGGTTGATGTTCAGCCACTGTGCCATGCTAACTGGGCCAAATTTATTTTAATTCCTTGGCCTATCCATCTCTCCTCCCCAGAAAGTTACCCCTCTGTTCTTGGGTTACAGAGTGTGTCACTGTACATCTCCAACATCCATAGTTTCTATTTTATTCTTTTTGTCTTCACTTCTGAAGTGTGAGCATTGAGGGGAGATAAATTCTTGAAAATTTTCTCTTGCCATATGTTCATCCTAAAGCACAGTGAGTGGTGCTCAGTGGGTTCTCCTTAAACTTTGTACCTTGAAATGGTCCAGGTCTCAGCTCCAAACAGCCAAGGACAGCTGAGGTCCAGAGTCCATTGGGAGGAATGAGAGAGAGGCTCAGGGTAAACAGTAAATGCTTGCGAGATGGTTCCAAGTGCTGACCTGGCTGTGTGGACCATGTTGCCAAAGGACTACTGGCTCAGGGACTGGGAGATTTTTACAGCCTTTCGGTGGTGGGAGTGACAAGGGAGATGCTGGGGTGGGACCTGGCTGTCAGTCACAATAGTTGAAATCACTAATGTCTCTGACAATCAACAGGGCTGTTTTGAAGTTGGTCCCTGAAACATGGGCTCATCCCCTTGTTCTGCCTTAAACACCCAGGACTTACACAAGCAGGGCCTGCCCTGGGCCCTTTCCACACCCTCACCAGACAGGGTGGCTGATTCCCCTAGGAACAGGAGGTCAGAGGTCAAAACCCCTGGTCACCTGAGCTGGAAACCATTCAAAAAGAAGACAAAGTGATGAGCATGTGGTATCTAAAGCAGAATTATAAAAAAAAAAATTATGTCACATTCATATAAAGATATATATAGTTCACGAGAACAATGAAGAACAGAGTACAACATATAGCTTATAAATGTGTAATTCTGAGAAAAATAAAGCAGATACAGAAGAATGCATAGAATGTTTCCCTTCAAGTAAAATTTGAAAGCGAGGAAATGGCAGTGGTCAGGAATGTATGCTTAGGTGGTAAAATAAAGATGAAACGGAGAGAGGGTCTCATCATAAAAGTTCAGATGATGGTTTTGGAGAAGAGAGGAAGCAGGCTGGTGCGGGAGGTGGCAATGTTTTATTCATTGACCTGGGAGACAGTCACGAGTGTAAGAGATTCATTAGACTGTGTATTGTAGTTTGTTGTCCTTTTCTGCATAATTAATCTATATTAAAAAAACAAACATGGATTGAACAAGGACCAAAATAACTATTTACATTGGTGAGCACTCATAAAAATAAACAGAAGACATGTATTTCTTTCTTTCTTTTTTTTTTTTTTGGCTTTTTTGGGGGAAATTGAATGGTAATGGAGATTAAAGGAAAATAAGTCTATAAGTAAAATAAGATACCTTGCAACAGATCAATGATGTTTAGATTCCGGAAGCTGAGGACCATACATGGTTCAGACTTTGAAAGTAAGGCCAAGATTGAACAAAGCAAAACTTAAGTATAAAACTTAAAAATGAATTTTAAGTATCTTGACATTTTCCGATTTCAAAAGCTACACCGGGGCGAATGTGGGAACAACATTTTAGTTTCTCTGCTCCAAGTCACCCCCTGCTCCAGGTCTCCTGTGTATCCTTCACAGCAGGCGTTCAGTGGCGGTGAGAACACATTACATAAGGGAACCAGAGAGGCTGGTGCTGGTGCAAATGTGGACATAACTGAGGACAGAAGGGCCCGGTGTGGAAGCCCAATGCATTGTGGGGGCAGGGGAGGGGGAAGGAGCCTGACCCAGGCTCAGCGGTGGGCCTGGTCCCAGGATGCCCAATGCCTGAGCAGTCCCCTCACTCATGGGGAAGCAGAGAGCAGGAACAAGAATTCCTTAGTGAGTCAGCAGGGCCGTTCCCCAGAGGTCCACAGGCCTCATCCTAATCTCCAAGCGCCTGTCTCCTGCACCTGAACTGGATTTTCCACAGCCGGTTGGGACACAGCAGACCCTAGGGCATGGCCACTGACTCCTAAGCAGACTGTTTTGCATAAGGGAAGGAGAAACATCACTGAAGAATTATAGGAAGGCATCATCATGGAAGGGGAGGCAACTTTGCCCAATCTCCTGCTGGCTCATGTCATGGTGGTCACCATCCCTGAGTCAAGACAGAGGCTTCTTTGATGAGCTCAGACAGCCCCCAGAGCTGCAAAGTGAAGTTCAAGACAGAATGAAACTCACTACAGACTGATTCATTTGCCTTCCAGCATAACCATTATTGCTTGTCTCATTTTCGGTTCTTATAAGGGTATTTCTTGGATCACATGATCTCACACATCTAAGGGAAATAATGAGCAACTAAACTGATGAACAAAAACAGACTCGGAGATAGGGAAGCATCAATCAGACTGAGAAACCTCAGAGGGAAGGAAGGGGAGGGTAAGAGAAAGGGGGAGAGATCAACCAAAGGACTTGTATGTATGCATATAAGCCTAACCAATGGACATAGACAACAGGGGGGTTGGGGCATACGTGGGGAGGGATTTGGGATGGGAATTGGGGGGGATGAGGACAAATATGTGATACCTTAATCAATCAATAAAATTAAAAAAAAATAGTATGGGGCTAACACCAGAACTCACAGCTCTGACCTCCAGTCTTCCCTGCTATGCTCTCTGTGCTACCTGGTCTGTCACTGTGGGTCATGCCACCTCTTTCCCTCCCAGCACTCCAGTGGGGACCCCACATGAAGATGGGAGTGAGGTGACTCTGCCTCCCTCCCCTGGACTTTGAGTTTTCAGGCCCTGCAGTGACCAAGAGGTCTAGTAGTGGGGTTAGGAGGGAGGTTTGGAATCAGGCTTTTCTGGGATCATACCTTGAGCTTGCTGTCTATTAGACTCGTGCACATAGGAACTTTAACCCCTCAATTCCCCATCCTCAACATGAAGGCAACAGCACCATCTCATAAGGTTTTGAAGGTTTATGAGGAATGTCAATAAGACAGGTAAGGTGATGCATGGTATCATTATGGACTTACAAACCACTGGAGAGTTTTTGTTAGATGTCAGAACAAACTTGTGGAAGGACTGGGTGATGAGCAAACACAGACCATGCTGCCTTTCAGAGTCCCATCCTCTTTAAGTTCAGAAACCCAGTTTTCTCTACCACAATCCCTGTGCTTTCAAGACACATCCCATTGTCTTCCCCATCCCAGCCCTAGATTTCCTTACCCACAGAAGAATGCTCTAGAATAGTGCAATCCCTTAGGAGTTGCCTGGGATTTTACAGGAACAAGATGAACACACACCCGTAGGTGTGTGCCACCCACCTGAGTGAGGCAATGGTCCAGGAAGCAGAGAAAGAACATGGCCCAAGGGCTCCCATTGCCTGGGAGGAGCCAGACTGGGCCTTATAAAGGGACCAGTCTTTGCCCAGATGCACAGCACACTCATCCTTCTCCTCAGTGACACCTCGTCAGCTCTGGTAAGTCTGCACCTAACTGTGTGCCAGGGGGGTTCATCAGGGCAGGAGTATGATGGGAGAGGATTCAGGAGCCTAGATCCAGACTCAACTCTGCCTGTTATGGGTCTTTCCAACTTCATCCCACTTGGTCCCGAGGGCCTATCTACAAGATGTCTGTACTGATGCTCCCACTGCTCTTTTGGCTCTTCTGTGACAACTCTGTGAAACATCCCTGATGGGAGCTAAGTGTAGGAACCTTTCTCTTCCTCCTTGCCTTCTTTTCTCTCTGGAGTCATCTGACTCTCAGGCCACAGACTTTGCACCCCAACCTCTGGGGACAGTGGGGGTCTCTCCCAAAGTCTTGAAGATTCTCCTAAACCCAGGCTAGCAATGCCCACTCACCTTGCCCTGGTGACCCATCAGCTAAGGTTTGGACCTCCTCCCCAGCTGAGGGAATGACCAGTGACCTTCTGTGCACAGGGCTCAGCTAAGGCCTTGGCCAAGTTGACAGAAGGCCTTGGGTGGTTTCCCTTAGGGACATAACAGCAGGGTTCTTTCTCCCAGATAGGGAGACAGTGGTAGTTTTTGTTAGATGCCCACATTTCTTGGGTGCTTTGGAAAGTCTGGGGTGTGAGGGCTGCACTGTCCTATTTCTCTGCTTGGGGTCCAGACTGTCGGTGGAAGTACCTACCCTCTCTGCTTCTGCCTCCTGTGGCTCTGTCCACAGTGGGCTTCTGTGTTCTCCTCCATCTCCTCTGGGCCCTGACCTGCACGGGTCCGGGCCCCAGCCTTGGTCACACTCTCCTCCTTGTGAGCTTCTCACCCCACCTCCTAGGTGAACAGCTCCTTCTGCTCCACCTGAGCCTCACCTCACTGGATGCCCAGTTCCCACCCATTGTCCTGACTTAGGGACCCTGACCTCGGGGGAGGGATAACAACGGTCCCGTCTTTCTCTCTGGCAGCTTCCTTGAAAACCAAGATGAGCAGCAACACTCCAGTTGAGAAGTCCGTGATGGACTTGATCGACCTGTTCCACAAATACACCAAACCTGATGACAAGATTGACAAGCAGGGCCTGCTGAAGATGCTGAAGGAGAATTTCCCCAACTTCCTCAAGGCCTGTGTGAGTCTGGGTGACTTCTCAAGGTTGCTTGGGGCCTGGCATGGCAGAGGATCTTGGACAAATCAATCCCATTCTCTCATCCTCCATATTCTCATCTGCGAAAAAGGCCTAAGAGGGCTCTCCTGAGTCATGATCAGGATGAAAGAGATGATACAGGTGGCCAAGAGTAAAGGCATCTGGAGATGAAGGGTGGTTATTAGGTGGTCAAATAGGAGAGTGAAGAATGGGTCCCCTCCCACTGGTCACTGTCCATCCAGGAGACTGAAGCCCATAGGCTCAGGCTCTGCCTCTAGAAGCTTCCATCAGGTTCTCTGAGATTCAAGGGAAGGCGATGGAAATTCCATGGCTGATAAAATGTAACACCTTTCATTACAATGAAAAGCTCATTTGTAGACCAGATTTAGTCTGACAGTCAGAATGCACTGAACTGGTTACAAAAAGAGAGGCTACTGAGGGCACGGAGCATGGAAGATTCGGGAAGGCAGATAGGAGACAGGAGAGGAGGGTTAGGAATGAAGAGACAAGGGGTAGGGCCTACCTTTATTTTCTGAGTAGAACTTAGGTAGATTGGGTCCTGGAAGTGGGTGGGGGAGCAGGTCTGGGTCTAAAGACCACCCACCCACCAGCTCATTGATCAGTGGGGCTCTGGGCAGAGTCTGCCCACCAGCACTACTTCTCTCTTTCATGCTGATATTAGATCCAAGGAATCTCCCTTAGTGACCTGCAGGGGAATGCTAATGTCCCCGTCATCCCCAGACACCCTCCACTGGCCCACACCAGCTACACCTGTGCGGCCCCAGGTGTCTCTCTCCCCCTCCTCCTGTTTGCCTCCTCCTCCTCTTCCACCCATAACACTTTTGGGACTGAATTTGTCTTTTCCACAGGATAAAAGGGGCAAAGATTTCTTGGCCCACATCTTTGAGGACCACGACAAGAACAAGGATAAGAAGATCGATTTTTCCGAGTTCCTGACAGTGTTGGGAGTCATAGCCACGGACTACCACAATCATAGCCACGGAGCCCCTCTTTGTTCTGGGGATGATCAGTGAGCCCCACCCAGCCTGAGGCCTCCAGAAACCCCAAGAAACAATAAAGTGTCTCTTGCTCAGATAAAGCCCAGTTTCCTGCTTTTCTTTGGCTACTTACGCTGTCAGAAATGGGTTTTCTTCGTGAATGTAATTGTGGATTCTCCATGGGGGATTACCCAGGGATGTGCCAGGAGGGTGCCCTCCCTTTGGCCTCCAGCACAACTGACCACCTCTCTCAGCAGGGCCTCTGTCCACCTCTGCCCCTGCTCCCTAGTGCAGCCAGCCTGCCAGGTCCCAGGGTCAGCAGTGCAGAGCATTCTGCTGGCCCAGCCATGCTTTTCCTTCTCAAGGGGTGATCAGCATCTGGGGATCCAGGAACTGCAGGGAGCAGGAGCCGAGGGAGGTGTGAACACGGTGCCTCCAGCCCCGCCCTCCTGCCCAGCACAACCCCAGGGACATAGGGGGGATGGCATCACTGAAGTAGCATTGGGTGGAGGGCTTTGGGGGCACATGGCTCTGGTCAGTGTGCATGGGACACTCAGCAGTGCCCAGAGGATTGGATCCCTTTTCCTGTGTCCTGGGCTTCTGGGCTGTGTCCTGTCCCAATGTTGTGTGTCCGTGTGTGTGTGTGTGTGTGTGTGTGTGTGTGTGTGTGAGTGTGTGTGTGTGTGTGTGTGTGTGTGTGTGTGTGTGTGTTAGCCCATGTGGGTGTCCCTGTGGAGGTTGAGAGCCACCCTGTCTGCTGAGCTGACCCTCGCAATGGTTTGCTAAATGCTGGGAGCTGTGTGTCTGGGGAAAGCACAGAGCGATGGGTGTTCCAGGCGTGAGGAGTAAAGCTAGTGCTGGAGTCCAGAAAGTGGGCAGGTAGAGAGAAGACAGGACTGAAGAGGAGCGGAGAGGAGAGGGCAGGGAGTGATGAGCAGAAAGCTCAGGCTGAGTCATTAGTGACAGTGCACTCCGCTAGCCGTGCAAAGAGGCGTGCCCTTCCCCACAGGGCCCTTCCCACCTGCCTCTGTCCTTGGATCTATAGAACCAGCTCAGACCTGAACCCTGCACCCAGCTGCTCCTTTCAGAGCTGGAGCGCTGTGAGCCCGCAGAGGCAGAGAAGAAGGAGGAGGATGGGGTGGGTGAGTGGGGGGCTAAGCCACACAGAGAAGAGCTTCCAGAGGCTGGGGTTAGGCAGGAGCAGAGTTGCTTAGATCCCATGCCCAGGGCCTGCAGTCCGGGAGGACTTCCTGGGTGGCTCTTGAGCTGGGGACTCCATCGATGGCTAGGGGAGAGTTTCTGTCTCTAGAAGGCACACCGAGGCAGTCACGGTGATCACATGTTCTCTTCTGGGATCTACAGAACCAGCTCCAGGGCAAGAGCCAAACAGACCTCAAGAGGCAACGCCGGCTCCAGGGCCTCTCCAGAGCCAGAGCAGCTCCGGGCACAGCCTTCCCTGACCTCCAAGAGGCAGAACCACCTGCAGCTCCTGGAGGCCTGGGGTCCCGGATCCGGGGCTGCAGCGTGGCAGCTGCCATGGCAGAGAGGGCTTCCTCTTGAGATGGAGTTCTTAAATATTTGCATTTTTCTTATATTTGCTTAACATTTTACGTTTTTGTACCATGCAGTTAAAATAAAATGTACTTTAAATGAAATAGAATAAAATGTTAATAAAATCTAATTTAAATAAACTGTTAATTTGTCTGTGATCCTTCGGAATGTGCATGCCAGTGACATTACAGACGTTCACAATTTTCCACAACCACTACCGCATCACATCACCACCTCTCTCTAGTTCCAGAGCCTCAATGAGAGAGAAACATCGACCAGCTGCCTCCTGCACACCTCCCACTGCAGATGTGCCCACCACCAAGGCACATGCCCTTGACCAGAATTGAACCTGGGACCTTTCAGTCTACAGGCTGATGCTCTATCCACTGAGCCAAACCAGTTAGGGCTGGACATGACTCTTTACTGCAACCAAGGACAGCCCTATGGAGACATGGCCCATGAGGCTGAGCTGTTAGCATGATGTGAGCTTAAAGAATGCTCTCTAGGAACCAACCTGTAGTTGAAAATAAAAGCGAAATCCCTTTATTTGTATCACCTGAATATTCTGAAAAGGCTGTAGGCCAAGACAACGCTATTCACATCTTTGCTGTGCTTTCCCGTTGCTTATTTCTCTTTCCTCACTCTCCTTCAAGCTCACAAATAAAATTCTCCTGCAGCCCTTGCTTTGTGGGTCCTCACCCCTCTCCCCCCACGTTCTTCCAGCTTCTTCACTGAAGAAGAAAAAAAAGGAGAAGGGAGCAAAGAAGGAGAAAGAGGAGGAAGCAGAGAAGGAAGAGGAAGAGGAGGAAAAGATTGGAATATGGAGGGAGCTTCTCACAGGTCATGCATGACTTTCCCTCAGGAAGGGGGTCAAAGATAGTATTTTTTTTCAGCAAACAGTAAAGGGAAAATCCGGAGATAATACAATCTTTAAAAACTTTACCTTATAAGCAATTAAACCTATTCCTTTAATAAATCAGAATTCCTGCTGTCCCCAACCCCTACCACCTAAATCCTGATTCCTGTTGACAGAGACAAAAGCAAGAAAGTATACCACAATTCAGAATTCATTAATTAAATTTCAGACTTCCAAGAGAGTTAAAAACAAACAAACAAAAAAACCAACCCACAAATATATGAATAAAATAACTTCAATGCTAACAACACAGTATCACCATTGTTTTATACTTAAAATGTAGAGAGACAATCTCAGACTGAGGAAACTGTTTTTTGTTTTGTTTTGTTAATCCCCATTCTCCATTGATTTTTGGAGCAAGTGGAAGGGAGAGAGAGAGAGAGAGAGAGAGAGAGAGAGAGAGAGAGAGAGAGAGAGAGAGAGAGAGGGAGAAATCAGATGTGAGGGAGACACATTACCGTTGCCTCCCGCATGTGCCCCAAGGAGGGGGGTGGGGGTGCCGGGATCTTGCAACCCAATTATGTGTCCTTGACCAGGAATCAAACCCCCGACTCCTTAAGCCACGCAGGCCAGGGCAGACTTGGAAACTCTTGAAATGAAATAAGTCAAGTTTATCTTTAAAACAGAAAGGAGGGGAAAAAAACTCCATGTCACTGATCTCGTATTTAAAACCACTGTGGGTTAGGGGGCTTCTCCAAAGACTTTTGGATGAAAATGAATCACTGTAGTCTGTAAATCAATCACATTAGCATTCTCAAATATGAATCTGTTCCGAGGATTCAAGAGGAATGAAAGAAAGCTGAAAAAACGCTCCCAGAATCTGTCGTTTGTTTTCCCCTTTTAAAAAATATAAATTTCAATACTGTGGACACAAATGGCCAGGTACACAGGATCCTTCCTAAGACAGGGAGGGCCCCGGGAGGCACTCGGAGGCCCCTAGGGGTAAGGAAGTTAACATTAGGCTCAGGGTGTGGCTCAGGGTGTCTGGTGTAGGTTCTAGGAGCCTTTCACCAGATCCATGCAGACCTGAGTGCTCCCTCTCAGGATCTCTCCTTGGCGGGCCCAGTTGTCAGGCAGTAAAAGGAAGTCACACAAGATGCATTGACCAGGAATTGAACCCGGGTCTCCTGCATGGGAGGCAAGAATTCTACCACTGAACCATCAACACCCTTTGAGGGTAATGTTCTTACTACTGAGGTACCAATGTCTCTTGATATCAAACTGCATACCAGCTCAGTTGTCTTGGGAAGATGGAGCTCACAAACCAACAGACATTCTGGTCAAAGGCTCAAGACATCAGAAAGCAACACAAAGTGGGGACATTAAAATTCCAATATAAAAATATCTGCTTTGGCCGAAACTGGTTTGGCTCATTGGATAGACTCATAGGGGTGTCGAACTCAATCAGAGAAGGGGCCAAAATCTAAAATCCAGCCTAAATCGTGGGCCGAATGGTTTACTGAACAGTCATAAACTGTCATTGTGATGGAAACGCAGCGGAGTGCAGTGATGACAGCGCGGTGCGGGCCACATTGCAAGGCTTGGCGGGACGGATTTGGCCCGCGGGCCTTGTGTTTGACACATGTGGGATAGAGCGTCGGCCTGTGGACTGAAAGGTCCCGGGTTCGGTTCCGGTCAAGGGCATGTACCTTGGTTGCAGGCACATCCCCAGTAGGAGGTGTGCAAGAGGCAGCTGGTGGATGACTCTCTCTCATCGATGTTTCTAACCCTCTCTCTTCCTCTCTGTGAAAAACCAATAAAATATATATATTTTTAAAAATATCTGCTGTGTCAGCTCACACACAACTCTGATAAAGACCCTTTCCAAGATCCCTTGTTTATCCTGGGATAAAATTCACCCAGAAACTGCAATTGTCAATCTCAAACTACTTACCTTAGAGTCAGTGTTTCCCAAACTTCTCTCATGATGAGAATCACCTGGTGGTATTGTTAAACTACAGATTCCTGAATCCCAACTAAGAAGTGCTAAACTAGAATTTTTGGGAACTTATAGATAAAATTGTATACTTAACTTAGTGCTCTAGCACTTCTTAGTTGGGATTCAGAAATCTGTAGTTTAACAACTCCACCAGGTGACTCTCATCATGAGAGAAGTTTGGGAAACACATAGAACATTCATCAGCTTTCCAGGTGTGCCCTTTAACATGCTGATTCATCCAAATGAGCCCAGATAGGGTCAGGGTCCTGGTCTCTACTGATTGGTTGGTGGTAGGGTGTGTGTGTATGTGTGTGTTGGGAGTCATTACACCTGGTTCTGATCCCAGTGCTGGTGTCACTTGGTCTGGTTTGGGTGCTTTTCTGGCCCGGAAGCCTACACGACTGAAGCCTAGATGTTCTCTCTAGTTTGAACAAAACGCTGTCTCTGCAGGCAGCAGATGGAACGCGTTGATTATTTGATGCTGATCAGATCCTCATTGTCCTGAGGGCTTCATGCTTAATGCAGTGCACGTGCAAGGGAGGAGGGGCAGGGGAGTCTGGGTGCTGCTGGGTGAGGCCGGCTGGAATGGCTGTCTGTCTCAGTTTCCCCGTCTGCCAAAGCATTCTCCTCATGTTTTACTCTCCTGCCCCACAGGGAGGAGAGCAACGGACAGGAGAATCCGGGCCTGTGGGAAGTCTCCTTCAGGTACACACAGAGCACCGACCAGGACGTGCTTGTGAAGAAACTGCCTGAGGCCAATGGAAGAAACTTCTGTAGAGCCCTAGCGGGTGTGGCTCAGTGGACAGCACTTGGCCCTGCGGACTGCAGGGTCCTGGGTTCAGTTCTGATCAGGGCACATGCCCAGGTTTTGGGCTTGATGGGGGGGTGGGTGGAGGGGGCATGCAGAAGGCAGCCAATGGGTGATTCTCATCATTGATGTTTCTGTCTTTCTCTCCCTCTCCTTTCCTCTCTGAAAATAAAAAAATAAAAATTTAAAATTTAAAAAAAAAGAAACTTCTGCAGAGATCCTAAGTTCCAGTGGGTGGTGCTCACACCAGCCTGACAGGACTACTCACAATGCATGGGCCCCTGCGCAGAGCGCTCAGGGAGGTCTCCCCTCAGTTGTGGGAGGCTGACCTACCTAAAAGCTCAAACAAGCAAGTCCCCAACGGACCAAACTGCGGGCAAGTCACTCAACTGGACCCCAGAAGAAAGCCCCGTAAGATCCATAGCACCACCAACATAGCCAGTCCGCAAGAAGGTACACTATGGCAACGCCCGCCGTCCAGTCAGAGAATGCCGGGCGTGCCCAGGGGGGCGTCATCAGTGCACGAGGCCCAGCCATAACCGACACGATGCTAACAGCAGCCGGGAGAACATGCATGCTGGTACCATGTCTCTTGCACATGTCCAAAGAGTACATTAGAAACACAGAACAGCCGAAACCGGTTTGGCTCAGTGGATAGAGCATTGGCCTGCGGACTGAAAGGTCCCAGGTTCGATTCAGGTCAAGGGCATGTACCTTGGTTTGCGGGCACATCTCCAGTAGGGGGCATGCAGGAGGCAGCTGATTGATGTTTCTACGTAACTCTCTATCCCTCTCTCTAAGAAAATCAATAAAATATATTTTAAAAAAAAACAACAAAAAAACGCGGAACGTGTGCGAATGTGTAGAGTCAATCTTTAGAGATAATAAATTCATTGGATGGAATGAACAGATTGCAGGAAAAATATTAGAGACCATAAAGCCATGAGCAATGGGGAATATCCAAAATGAAACAGTGCAAAATTATTATTATTATTATTATTATTATTATTATTATTATTTGCAAAATTACTTTTAAATGATTGCGTGATACGGCAAATGTAAAATGCCCAACCTAGGAGGAGCTCCCGCCTTTTCGCGTTTGCCTCTTGGGCCCCGCCCCGCCCCCCGCAGTCAGGAGGCCCACAGCTTCCCCTGCCCGCATCCCCCCTGGCCCGCCCTGGGGCTCAGGATGGGAGGCGCCGGTGGAGCAGGGCCGGGCGGGTTATTCGGCTGCTCCGTTGCCTTCAGATCGACCCAAGCACGGGTTTCAGACGCAACCAGCACGCAGCGCGGACTCCACGTCTTCGGTTTTCCGAGGTCTGGGAGTCCGCCCGGCCCTCTGTCCACCCACAAAGCTATGGCTCTACCTAGCCGGGACTGAGGACCTGATCCCTCCGACATGGAGAAGCTAGTTTCTATGGGTCTCTGTGGCGCAATCGGTTAGCGCGTTCGGCTGTTAACCGAAAGGTTGGTGGTTCGAGTCCACCCAGGGACGCCTTTGTTATCCTTTAAAAGCAAAAGCCAAACCTTTGTTACCTCTCCCTTTCAACAATCACAGAAAAGAGAACTTCCTCCACTAACTTCTTCCCAAGTTGGTTCCTGTCATTATGGGCTTACAGATAATGGTGTTCTCATCATCTTATTATACACAAGCATTTCCACCGGGTAGAAAGAGCAATCGCTCTAATGCGGTGTTGACGTGCGTCCTGCAAGACTCCATTTTCCCTCCTTTTGTGGACTTATTACATATCACTCCTTTGTTATTTCAGCGGCTGCTTTAGGCTCTAGAGCACATTATCTGTAACTTACCACAGCCTGCCCCTATGCTGTGGTCGCCATGGGTTGCCCTTGACATATGCTTTAAGCCCCAAAATCTGCCATTATTACTGTTGTTGCGTCAATCCCACGTTTTTAAAGAGATGTAAATTATAAGAAACACGTCTTACATCTACATGTGATCCCATGCAGATTCCATTCCTGTCACCTTCATCCTTCGTGTACACCCTATCTTTTTTTTTGCCTCGATTCCCTTGACCATCCTTGCCTTAGAATTTTCTTTGGAGTTCTGAGACCACACACTGTTCATGGTTATCTTCCTGTGTGCCTGGGGCTGGATCATCTTATTTTTGTTACTTGGAGGGGATTTTCATGAGCTTCCAAATGAAGGTGAGGAGGAACATCAAATACATGTTCCCTGACGTTTATCAAGCACCTTCTGAAGGAGGGGAGCTTGTAAAAATTGGAAGTGGGTCAATGTCACTGCCGCGTGCTGCGAGGCACTGCCCCCTAGTGGATGAGTGAGGCGTGACACACGCGTTGTAGGGCCCGTGGTTCTGTCAGCAAGAGAAGCAGCACGTTGTCGCCGCGAATGTGACCCCTGAGTCCTCTTCAGGACGTTCCTGTGCAAGATAGGAGAGAAACCACAGGCCCCATGACCTCTGAGACACGGTGACCTAAGGAATAGGTTTATTTTTTGTGTGAAATAATCTCAAGAGCTCACGCAGAGACAGCACGGTGAGCAGCACATAGCAGTGGTTGGTGCCTGGAGACTCGGCTCCATGCCTTTCGCCAGCCTCCGTCTGGCTTTGGGAGGGCGAGCTGCCACGGGCGGTGGCCCAGGGAGCAGAGGGAAGCCAGGTCCCCGGGGAAGAGAGGGCTCAGAACGTGGCCGGGGGCTGGCTCCGAGGGGTGCGCTTCAGAGCCAGATGTCAGAGCTGCAGTCACCCCCGGGGTAGCGCAGCTCATGGGCCAGGGCTGGGCCGAGGGGCTCCTTCCCGAAGTCCACCAGGAAGTTGGGGTTCAACTTCAGCCCTCCCTTTACTGTGTCCACATCAACCTGCAGCATCACGGAGCCTTCCCTGGTGGCGATGGGAGGGGGGTGGGGGGGAGAAGAGAGAGGTCAGAGGGGGACATCCCCTTCCCCCAAGGCATTGTGGGTGCACAACTAGGTTCCCGGGGAGGGAGCAGGGTCTGTGTGGCGGGGCAGGTGGGTGCCTGAGGAATCCTCAGAAAGCCCGAGACTTCTGGGGAGGGGAGGGGTGGGAGGGGCGGGGGGAGGGGAGGCTGGGGAGGCAAGCCCAGGCTGCCTGCGTCTCACCTGATGAGATCAGGGTAAAACTGCTTGTCCCAGGCGCTGTACAGCGACGTGGTGACATAGAGGCGCTTCCCGTCTAGGCTGAGCTGGATCATCTGAGGGCCTCCAGCCACCCGTTTCCCCTTGGGAAAACCAGGGGTCAGCCCCCGGGGCCCTGGAGGGGATCCCAGGCACCCCCCAAACCCCGAGAGCTTGCTGAGATGCTCCCCCCACCCTCTCCCTTCCCCCATACCCCTGCGGCGCGGACCTGAGGGTGCCCGCGGGCGGGCGGGGAGAGCGCCTCACCTTGACCACCAGGGGCTCTGGCTGGCCTTTCAGCTCCTGGTCCTCCAGCACTTGCACGGGGCCCCCCTTCACGATGCTGCCCCCCAGGAAGAGCTGGGTGGACGGGGAGGGGCAGAGAAGGTGGGACGGCAGCAGCGCAGAAAGAGCCATCTGCCTCAGCCAGGGTCTCTCCCTCCCTCCCTCCCTTTCCCAGGGAAGCGAGGGCTCCCTGCAGTCCTGTCCTGCACCACCCCTCAGCTCCCATTCTTCTATATATATATAATTTTAAAAAATATATATATATTTTATTGATTTTTCACAGAGAGGAAGAGAGAGGGATAGAGAGTTAGAAACATGGATTAGCTGCCTCCTGCACACCCCCCACTGGGGATGTGCCCCCGAAACTAAGGTTCATGCCCTTGACCAAAATTGAACCCGGGACCCTTCAGTCCGCAGGCCGACGCTCTATCCACTGAGCCAAACCGGTTTTGGCCTCAGCCCCCATTCTTGCCTTTCCTGTACCTCCCTTCACACCCCCAGCCCCTTCACACCCTTTTCCTTGGGCAGTTTCTCTTCTTCTCCCTCCTTCTCCCCTCCCCCTCCCGCTGCTAGGGCTCCCACCTGCCCGGTGAGCCGGGGCCGCTGGGGGTCAGAGACGTCGTACTGACGCAGGTCCCCGTGCAGCCAGTTGCTGAAGTACAGGAAGCGGTCGTCCAGGGACAGCAGGATGTCAGTGATCAGGCCTGGGGGAGGGGGCAGGGGTGGGGGACGGGCCAGAGGCTTTGAGGACTCCCGCTCCCCGGGCCAATATCAACCTCCCGGTTCCCACCCACCCACGCCTGGCACCCACCTGGCATCTCAGGCAGCATCCAGCCCTTCACCTTCTTGGGCGGCACCTGGATCACCTTCTCTGCCGACCAGGTGCCTCCCTGCACGGGGATTAGGGGGAGGAGAGGGGAGCCTGTCAGAGTTGGGGTTGGGGGCAGATCGGGGTCTCCCCGGGGCCTATGTCTGCAGGGAGATGGTGGGCACAGGGCGTCTGTGCCACTGGGGTCTCGTTCTGGGGTGAGTGGGCTCCTTAAGGCAGGAATCAAGTCTGTATGCCCATGCTGAAACCGGTTTGGCTCAGTGGATAGAGCGTTGGTCTGCAGACTGAAGGGTCCCAGGTTCGATTCCCGTTAGGGGCAAGTACATTAGTTGTGGGCACATCCCCAGTAGGGGGCGTGTGCAGGAGGCAGCTGGTCGATGTTTCTATTATAGCTCTCTATCTATAGCTCTCTATCCCTTTCCCTTCCTCTCTGTAAAAAAAGTCAATTAAATATATTAAAAAAGAAAAGACTTATTAAAAAATAAAAAATAAAAAAAAGTCTGTTTGCCCAGCATCTAGCCCGGTGCAGACCCACCGTCTTCTGTTGAATAAATGAATGAATAACGATGGCCAGGTAGGGCTAAGGAGGACATAGTTAAGGACTGAGAGTAAAGAGGCAGGCAGGTGGCCATGTTTTGGGCCCTGGAGAATTCTGGGGGGGGGGGGGGGGGCGAGCCAGGCTCAGAGAGGCCTGGTTACTCCCAGGGAGAGGAGAGCATCATGTCTACCGAAGCCTGGCCAGAGGGGACGACAGGATGGCCGGACGGGGCCCGGGGGCACGGGGCACCTCGTTCTTGAAGAAGCGCTGGATGCTGGAGCTGAGGGCGCAGCCCACGAAGCCCTGGGCGGCGGCGGGGTTGTGCAGGAAGCGGATCTCCAGGGGAATGAGCCCGTCCTGCAGGGTCAGGGTCTGCACGATCTCGTGGCGCTGCCAGTCCCACACGTACAGGTGGCTCCCGTACAGTCCTGCATGGGCACGGGGCCGAAGGGCGGGCTCAGGGGTGGGGCAGGAGGGCATGGACAACAGCTGGGGCCCGGCCCTGGGCAGGAAGCTGGATATGGGGTCGGTGGGATCGGGACACCCTGAGCGATCAGAGCACTCAGCACCTCCTACCCCTTCACCCAAGGGGCTGGGGTCCACTTGAGGGAAGGGAGGGGTTGGGGAGTGGGGTTTGGGAGCAGAAAGAGGGCCTGCACCCACGCTCCTGCTGACACCCCCCACCCCATCCCTCCCCAGGGGAATCCTCACCAGCCTCCACATCCGCGGGGTTGAAGCCGTCTCTTAGAACGTTGGGAGCTGTCCACTCGGAGCTGATCATGACGTTGTGCCGAGGCTGGTACCAGAAGTCATACCCCAGAGGCGCAGCGCCCCCTGGCTTCTCCCACGTCCCCTTCACCTCGAAGGTCTCTCCATCCAGCAGCACGAACCCCCCTGAGCAGGAAAGCAAGTAGGAGGTGGCAGGAGGGGCAGTCCAGACAGAGGACCCCTGCCCAGCCTCGCCCCAGGCACGGCCGATAGGCACCGAGCCCAGCACCTGGCACCCGCTCCTCCCACTGGGGTGGGCAGCTCCTTCAAGTCACGTGTCCAAGGGGCCTCACCAGGAGTGTCAGGTGGGAGGGGGGGGGACTTACTCGATGCCTCTACCTCACATCCCCCCTCATCCCTCATCCCTCTCCCAGACCACAGGGGGTGTTTCCCTCCCGCTGAGCCAGGAAGCCTCCTGGGACTCTGCACCCCGTGCTTCTCTCGTGCTTCTCTCATCTCGTCTCGCCTCCCACTCTCGGGGTTCGATTCCTGCTCGGGTCTCAGTTCCAGTCTGCTCACTTTGTTTTTTTACAGAGCAGACAGATTATATTTATGTGTACGTCAACGTGAACACCCAATGTTTTTTCCTTGCTGTGTACGACAGGTTGATACTTTTTTTTTTTTTTAATACAATTTGATGTCTACTCCTAATGTCATTAAATGCAGGAATATGGCCCTGGCCAGTGTGGCTCAGTGTGCTGGGCGTCATCGCTTGCACAAAAAGGCAGCCGGTTTGATTCCTGGTCAGGGCACATGCGTGGGTTGCTTGCATGCAAGAGTCAGTTCATTGATGCTTTTTTCCTCTCTCTCCCTCTTCCTTAAAAATCAATAAACGATACTTAAAAAAAAAAAAAAAAGTCTAGGAATGTCGTGGTCCTATCGTCTCCCGGAAAAAGCAGTTAAGTAGACCTAGTGCAGGGACATCAACTCGATGACCTTAACGGACATTTCACTCCAATCTGCCCCCCCCCCCCGCTGTCCCCTCGCCCCCGCTGGCTTCCTAAAGCTCACAGTAGCCCCTCTCCCGGGCTGTGTCTGCACATGAGACATTTTATAAGTGTCCACTCCGATCACCATAACAGGCATGGCAAAGGTAGAGATGAAGGGTCCCAAGAACTGTGAGATTTGCTCATACTTCACGAAGGCTGATTGAAATGAATGTGCTCTCTGGGGCCCTGGCTGTGGGCACACACGCCCCATGGCAGGCTGCTCTAACCATGACTTTGAAGTGGATTCATTAGTCAAGGCTCATTGTCACAGAAACAATGGAAAGAGCTGAAGTTACTTGACTGTGGTTTAAATGTCGGGTGCCCCCTGGTTCTCCCTGGAAGGTTGTCCCATCCTTCCCCAGCGTGGGGCCTGACCCCCTCACTCCCCCCCCCCAGATATGCTGCAGGGCCAGCGGGTACCTTTGCCATTGCCCTTGGGGTCCCCCAGGGAGCTGATCATCACCTCCCCGCTGGCCAGGCAGTGGCTGGTGTGAAGGTAGCCCAGGCCACACTTGGCGTGGATGTCCTCGGGCTCAATGACCTGGAGAGGGGGAAGGCATGCCAGCAGAATCTTACCGGCCCGGGAGGCCCCACTCCCCACTCCTTCACTGCCCTCCCCACCCATGTCTTCCTGCTGAGCAGACTCTTTTCCTTCAAAACGACGCCGTTTCCCTGTGGGAATGTGGCAGGGGTCCAGTCTGGTCACTTAGCAGCCAGAGAGCGTCAGAGAGAAAGAATGCCAGCTCCCGGGGCAGAAGGCACTGGCTCTGCCCCCTCTCTCTGCCCTGAGGCGCTCACAGCCCCATGGGGCCTTAAGCTGCTTGTGGGACAGATCAATGCCGGGTCCACGGTACACCAGCAGCCGGCAGCCGGCGCCCGCTGAGGAGGAAACGCAGCCAAGTGCTGAGGGGAGGTGGGAGGCTCTTGCCTAAGGGAAGCCACGGGCTCCTACTGGGCAAATGCTCTCCCACTGCCCTCCAGGCCCTGCCCCGTGGTGCCGATCGAGGCTGCCCAGGGTGGGGGGTACATTAGGACATGCCTTGTGCAGCTTCGGGGCGCGGGGCTCGGTGCCCACATCCACCACGTAGACGCGGGAGGAGATGAGGCTGGGCAGCACCAGCTTGCTGCGGGCCTTGCTGCGGTCCCCGAAGCAGCTGCTGCACGTGTTCCAGCCCGAGTGGTGCAGCTCGTCCTTCAGGTGGGGCACGGGCAGCCGGTGGATGACCTGGGGGAGGGGGGAAAGGGGCGGTGCTCAGCCAGGCCACGCCTCCGCTCCCGAGGGACTAGGTGCCCGCTTTGGCTGGCAGTGCCGTGCAGGCTGGGCCCTCACACTCCCCTCGCACCTCTGGGTGCCTTGTGCAATGGACAGGAGGACGAGGGAGCGTGGAGCTGGGGCAGGGCATCCCGGGGCCAGGACTTGCAGCAAGCACCGTGGGGTACTTGACTGCCCAAGCCCCCCCTACCTGGCAATACTGGGGAGACTTGGGGTCAACGTCCACCGTGGCCAGGTAATCCGGGGCCTCAATGCCGGTGTTTCGGTAAATGCAGGGCAGGTAGACTATCTCTTCCCGGGGCCCTGCGGGGAGAAAGCGGGCCATGGGGGAGGGGGGCGGGGTGGAGAGGAATAGGCAGGGACAGTGCTAGCTGTACCCCCCAACCCCAGCAGCTATAGCATCGTCAGTAGAGGGCGCTGGCTGTCAGAGTTCCTTCCCAAGGTGCGGAGTCTCCAACATGGCCCCCTTACCTTTCATGGCCTCTAGGGGAGAGGGGTAGCCGGGTCCGCAGCTCCCGCACTTGGTGGCTGCGGAAACAATGGGCATGGGGGTGAGCCACACTCCGGAGGGCGAAGGTTCCTCCTGACCAGCTGCCACCCACGCCCTACCGTGGCCAAGGCAGACGGCTCTAGGGTTAAGCCTCGGACCAACGGACTGATCGGTTTGCAAAGCCACCACCAAGTCCCAGCGTAGAGGGCACAGCCCACTTAGCACAACTAAGCTTGTCCTTATGCTCCCTAGATCTTATCTGGGTAGCTAATGAGCTAATGGGCTGTGGGAGGTGCAGCCAAAACAAGAGAACCGCACAAGAACACCGTAACTCCGGTGACCACTCCCTTGTCTATCGCTGACTGCAAAATAAAGGCTCAGCTTGCCCTCTGGATCTGTTCTCTGTGGCCTTAGCCAGGCCCAGGAGATCCACCCCAGCTTATTCTTTTTGTCTGTCTTTTCTACATCCTTCAACATCCTCCCTCAGGCTCTGCCCAACCCTTGGCTGTGCTGGCACACATTGCTGTCCCAGGTCCTGACCTGCTCCAGCCCCTCCAATCATCCTCTCCGCACCTCAGAGCCCTGATGGGGCTGGGTGTGACCAGAAGGGCTGTAGACATGTGACCCGAAGGTGGACAGACACTCAACACGACCCAGGGGAGGGCAGGGGAAGGACCAGGGCAGGGGAGGCTGGAGGGTGCAGTGGTTATGCTCTTGGCTTGGGTCCCCTTTTCCGTGGGCCATGCAGTAAACACGGGAGCGGAGGCACATGACTTAGCCTCCCCACATCTGCTTCTGCAGGAAGTAACCGAGAGGGCTGAGCCGGGGAAAACTGGATGTTCCCCAGGAGCGGCCCTCAAGTCCAAGGCTCAGGGTGGTGCTGTTCACTTCCTTCCCCAAAAGGTCTGTTCCAAGGCTCTGGGACACTCCCCTCGAGGTCCCGACCTAGGCTTGGCCAGAGCCTGGGTTATGTAACGGGTCCATCAGGGTCTGGTGGGGCTTAGGAGGCTGGCGTGGAAGGTTTCCGGGATCCTGGATGTCCTTAGACCGGCTTAACCCCGGGGCGGCCCAAGAGAGGGTTCTTCAGACGCACAAGAGAGGGTTCGGCCCACCCCCAGGGGCTGTAGGGAGGGGCTCTCCTGGCCCCCGAAGTCTGGCAAGAGGAGCCACGTGGATCTATGGGAAGAAAGTCTGATCTATGGGAAGGAGGCATCAGGGTTCGGGCCTGGCCAGGAGGAAGGGCTGAGGGATCACACAGGGCAGCTGCAGGCTGAAGGAAATCCCTGCGCGGAGCTCTCAGGCCCGGGCACTCTGCCTGTCCCTGGGCCAGTCTGCCGGGTGTCCTGACAGCTGGGAGCCAGAGTAGCCAGGGCGGAGCCTGCATGGTGCCAGGCCCAGGCCTTCAGCCAGGGAGCAGGTCCCACTCCTCGCAGCTGCCAAGGGCTTAGGCGGCCGGCCGAGAGGCAGCTGCAGCGTTTGAGAATCCAGGTGTGATGTCTACTCTCTCCGCCTCCTCCCTTTCCCTTGCTAAAAGTGGGTGATAGCTCTGGCCGGTTTGGCTCAGTGGACAGAGCATCAGCCTGCGGGCTGAAGGGTCCCGGGTTCGATTCCGGTCAAGGGCATGTACCTTGGTTGCGGGCACATCCCCAGTAGGAGGTGTGCAGGAGGCGGCTGATCGGTGTTTCTCTCTCTCATCGATGTTTCTAGCTCTCTATCCCTCTCCCTTCCTCTCTGTAAAAAAAAAAAAAAAAAGACAATAAAATATATTTTAAAAAATAAAAGTGGGTGATCAAATCTCCAACCTCCTTCTCTAGGTGGCAACAAAGTCAAATAAAACTGTGTGCAGAAGGACTTTTGTTAAGGAGAGACACTCCTGATTTAATATGAGGAAGTCCCAGGAAGGGAGGGGGGGAAGAATCCCAGGCAGTGCCCTGAGTGGGGTGGGTGGGGGGAAGTGGGAGGCAGGGGCAGGGTGAGAGAGGTCCCCCCTAAAGAATTAAGGGGAGTGGTTCTGTTACACAACCAGGCGGTCAGAACGTGGCCGGGAAGACGAGGGGGAGGGGGAGGAGGGTCTGGACGCGGAGAGGGAAGGAGGTTCCATCCTCCAGATGTGAAGACAGTGAGGCGCGCCCCGCCAAGCCAGGCAGAGGCTGAGAGCGAAGGTACGGGTCAGGTGGTCCCACCTGCATGGCCTCCCCGCAGCCCACCCCTCTCTAAGCATCTCAGGCCAGACCTCCCAACATCTCTGGGCTTGAGATGAAGCCAGGGACGTTCATTAAGTTTTCCCAGGGCCAGGCTGCCTGCTGGGCATCCCGCCAGCCCGGGAAACAGCCCAGGACAAGGACGTGGACACTTGCAGCCAGACCCAAACTCCTCCTCAGCCCGACACCCATTCCCACGGAGTGGGGAAGGGGAGGACTTAGAGCCTGAGAGGGTGGTGGGGAGGCGGCAGCAGGCCCCTGGGAGGGGCCGTGGGCTTCCTGCTCCCCTAAGAGGGACTGGCCATTTGGGGGCAGCTGGAGTGCATTGAAGGCCCGGGTTCCCTGCTCCCCGAAGACAGAAGCTGGCCCGGGGCTGGAATCGGATCGTGCCTCTTACGGGGACTGTCGGGGGCACAGAGGGTCGACTCCCAAGCGCCCAGACCTGATCTTCTCTGCTGCAGAAAGGCGCCCTGTCCCCAGGCGGCATTCCCTCTGCCCTCCTTCCCAGTGCCTCCAGGTGTGGGGAGGAGGAGGGGACAGAGGATCCGGATCCAGCCCTCTGTTCTGTAACCAGCTGTGCGCCGGCCACCCCTTCTCCCCCCACCAGGTTTCTGCCACTTCCTACAGGTGGTCCGGGGGCTGGTGCAGAGGCCCCTCCTTACCCATGCTGCTGGCTGGTACGTGTGGGTCCTGCTGGGTCTGCCGGGAGAGGGCAGAGGAGGGGAGCTGAGCGGTAGTGAGAGTGAAAGGCAGGAAGTTCCTGGGAGGCTGTGCGGGGCCGGGGGCAAAGGGGAGGAATTTATCTGACCACTGGGTCTGGGCGGAGCAGCGGGAGGGCTGGGCTGCAGCCAGAGGGAATGACTAAGGGCGGTCGGCCAGGAACACAGCCTGGGCAGCTGGAGTTTGAGTTGCAGGGAGTGTGTGTGTGTGTGTGTGTGTGTGTGTGACATGTAGTCCGAGTTGTGCCTGCGTGTGTATCTCCTTCATTGGTGCCTGGGCATGTGTGAGTGTGTGTCTGAGCTTGTGCGTGCTCCTGTCACCTCCGTGGTGCCCATGTGGGTGCTACTGTGTGTGTGGCTGAACGAGTGTGTTCCTGTGTCTATGTGTGAGGCACACATCTGTGCTTCTCTATGTGTGTGTTTCTGGACTTGAGCGTGTTCTGTGTGCTTATGGAACATGTGCCTGCCAGGAGACTCAGCCTGTGTAAGCATGTGCATATGTGCCCTGTGGGTGGTGTGAGAGCATGAGCGTGCATGTCCTGCATGTGTCCTGGGCCTCCTGGACCTGTCCTTGGACTTGTCTGCTGGGTTCAGGGGCCCCGGAGCTGTGGGCCGCTTGCTTCTCCTTGCACAGCCAAGTCAGCGCTCCCCTGAGATGGTCCTCTTATTCCAGACATCTGTGCTCCACCAGGCCCAGCCCTGTCCTCCCACGGCCTGCAATCCCCCAGTTGCCTGCCGGGAACCAGGATGGGTAGTGTGTCCAGGTCCCATTCTCTCCTGCCCATTCACTTCCTTTGAAATGAGGGAAACGCCTCGATGCTCATTATTACCTCCCTAACCCTCAGGAGGCGGAAGTGGAGTGCCTCCCCCTCATGTCCTCACAGGTGTTTCCCAGGGGCGGGACCAAGGCCCAGGGGCAGCCCCATGCCACCAGTGACCCTAGCTCACCTAGGACCAGTCACAAGACTCAGGGTCTTCATTGATCCTGGAGGGAGCCCCCCAGCTGAGGACTCAGTGAGGGCCAGGGCGCTGAGCCTGCGATGACAGTCCCAGGGATGGAATGGGGCCACGGTCCCAGGCCGCCAGCTGCCGCTGAGGAACAGAGGCCAGAGGGAGGCCTGCTCTGTTAACTCGCTCTGGGCTGCCTCCTCCGGAGCCGCCGGGGTTTGAATGTCTGGACAAGGGAACTGCCCCAAACTGGTCTCCGTCCTGAAGCCAAGCTCCCTCTTTCCTCCCAGCTGGCTGCCCGACAGGGTGACCCCTGCCCCACTCTCCGAGGAGCCGTGTCCACAGTCATTCTCCTCTCCCTGGTGAAGCCCTGGGTGCCGTATCTACTGGGTGGTGGAAGGGACACACTTAGGCGTGAAGTCTCCAGAGGAAAGAGCCACAGGGCTTCCACACCAGGGTGGAGGGAAGGAAGGCCACACTGGTCCCCATGTGAAGGGGCCTGTCCCCCTCGCTCCCATGGGTGAGGAAGGGTCACGAGTCCACAGAGGGAGATGCTCTCTGGCCTGCTACTTCCTACAGGTGGTGCAGGTGGTGGTGCAGGGGTGCCCTCCCATCCCCAACTTCACTCGCAACCCATGGCCTGTGTCTGCATCCTCACCACTGCACCTTCGGTCAGCCCGGACGCAGCTGCCCTGCAGAGGGTGGCCCCTGAGGCTGCCCCTTCCCCTTTGCCAGTCCCCGGGCTGCCTCCACTCACCTGCCTCCATTCTGTCCCCGGTTCTCCTTCTCTGGAGGGCCCCTTCTCCCACCTCCTCGCTACTTTCCTGCTTCTTGGCTTGAAGTAGCCCAACACCCAAGACACCTCATGGCCAGCCTCTTATCAAAAGCTCTGGAACGTGTAACTCCCCCAAAGCAGTTCTTTTGCCTGTTCCAGAGCCTGTGGTTGATTGCAAGCTCTTTCATGCTCTGCTCTGACCTGGCTGGTCCCTGTGGCTCCTCCAAGGAGCCCTCACCTCGGTTTCTGCCCGGATGCACGGCCCCAGAAACAAAGGCTCCCCAAGCCCGCAGTGTATGCTGTGCTTTGTGTCTGTGGAGAGGAGGGGGGGGGGGCAAAGCACAAGGGATGGTCAGGGTTCAGCGTTTGTTTCTGGAAGGCTCGGGAAAGAGAGAGAAACGGGGAGAGAAGAAGAGATGTTCCTGACGGGGCAGCTGGTCTTCATGAGGAGGCAGAGGCGCCTGGGAGGGAGGGAGGACAAAGGGCATGCATCCAGGTGCTCCCCATTTTGTCTGAGAGGCGCTGGAGGAAGGGATCGAAAGTCCACGTTTACTTGATTTACTTCTGTGTTTTTAAAACTAATGAGCATATGTTACCTTAGTAACCAAAACCCCAATTAAAGAGATAGAGCCGAAACCGGTTTGGCTCAGTGGATAGAGCACATGTGTAAAACACAAGGCCCGCGGGCCAAATCCGTCCTGCCAGGCCTTGCAATGTGGCCCGCACCGCGCTGTCATCACTGCACTCCGCTGCGTTTCCATCACAATGACAGTTTATGACTGTTCAGTAAACCATTCGGCCCGGGATTTAGGCTGGATTTTAGATTTTGGCCCCTTCTCTGATTGAGTTCGACACCCCTAGAGAGGGTCGGCCTGTGGACGGAAAGGTCCCAGGTTCAATTCCAGTCAAGGGCATGTACCTTGGTTGTGGACACATCCCCGGTCTGGGATGTGCAGGGGGCAGCTGGTTGGTGTTTCTCTCTCATCAATGTTTCTAGTTCTCTGTTCCTCTCTGTAAAAAATATATTAAAAAAAAAAAGAGAGAGATAGGGAGACACACACACACACACACACACACACACTCACTGAGTGGCCAGATTTTTATGATCTCTGAACACATAATAATCTGGCTACTCAGTATATATATATTAGGTCCAGTGCATGAATTTGTGCATGGGTAGGGTCTGGCCTGGCCAGGAGGAGGGGACAATTTGCATATTAGCCTTTTATTATATAGGATATACTCTGGTGGCCAGATTATTATGCGTTCAGAGATCATAATAATCTGGCCACTCGGTGTGTGTGTGTGTGTGTGTGTGTGTGTGCATTCGCAAGTGTGCACGCATAAATGTGTGTGTATATATATATATATATATATATATATATATATGGAGTGAGAGAGAGAGAGAGAGAGAGAAATAAAGGATGGAAGATCATATGTGTTACAGGTGACAGCCACAGGAAGAGCCCATAGGGAGGACGGACCCTGGTCCCTTCCTCCCTGAAGCTGTCCCACCAACCGGCCTGTCAAGTCCTTTGGAAGACACACATGCACATGCCCCATTATTCCTTCACTCTTGCACTTCGCAAACATTTCTGTTTTGTCAAAGAAAGTGGTGAACAGTGCCGAAACCGGTTTGGCTCACTGGATAGAGCGTCGGTTTGTGGACTGAAAGGTCCCAGGTTCAATTCCGGTCAGGGGCATATACATTGGTTGCAGGCACATCCCCGGTAGGGGGTGTGCAGGAGGCAGCTGGTCGATGTTTCTCTCTCATCGATGTTTCTAGCTCTCTGTCTCTCTTCCTTCCTCTCTGTAAAAAATCAATAAAAAATATATTTAAAAGAAAAGTGGTGAACAATACAAAGTTTCTGTGGTCAGAGAGTTAGCACTCTAAGGGAGACGGCCAATGACCAAGTACACATAAACGAGTAGCATCCTCTCAGGTGAGTGCTATGAAGGAAGTAGGAAGATGCAGGGTGATGGAGAGTGTGACATTAGACGGGGTTCCCTGGGACACAGGCACAGAACTGTGTGGAGGGAGCCGCGTGTAGGAACTGAAAACCCTAGGACACGAAGGCGTACAGCACGTCTGTAGCGGACCAGTTGGCAGTCCGTGAGGCCAAGGCGGGACTGGCCGGACAGGTTGAGGTTTTGGGTAGCTAAGCAGAGTTTCTGAGCCTGATCCTGCTCCTTTTAACAACTGTCATCTAACATTTCACACACGACCTCGGAGGAAGGGAGCGGCGTTTACTAACCTGTTCTGGGGTGTGGCTGGGTGGGCCTGAGCTCTGCTCCCCAGCTGTTAGTGCAGGCCCTGCCCCCAGCCAACCCGGAGAGGCATTTAAACAGCCTTTTCATCTCACATCAAGGAAGCAGAGGTGTTTTTTTATTATTATTATTTATTATTATTTTTTTTAATTTTATTTTTTAAGTTAATAAACTTTTTAAAAAATATATATTTTATTGATTTTTTTACAGAGAGGAGGAAGGGAGAGGGATAGAGAACTAGAAACATCAATGAGAGAGAAACATCGACCAGTTGCTTCTACTGGGGATGTGCCCTTAACCAAGGTACATGCCCTTGACGGGAATCAAACCTGGGACCCTTCAGCCCGCAGGCAGACGCTCTATCCACTGAGTCAAACCGGTTTTGACTAAGTTAATAAACTTTTATTTACTTAAGGGATTTCACATGTTCTGAGTTCTTCCACTGCCTTAGTTCCTCCTGAGCTTGAGTCTTAACCATTTTACTCCCTTTTTTTTTTTCTCAATCCGGAAGTCATCTCAGAGAGTCCTATATAGCAGGAACAGAGACTATCGGGATCCCAAGCTGTCTGGGAACTGAGAAGGATCAGCTAGACAAAGGCCATCAGGGCCCAGACATCGAAGATGGCCATCATCAAATCCCACTGATTACCAACGGCTGTCCCAAACACCTCCTAGAGCTTGTCTTAGATTTAGAGTGGACAGCGATCTGGCAATGCAGATTAAGGTTAGTGAAATGTTCCAGTAGGCTGAATGCTATGTTGTCAACATAGCAGAGAAAAAAAAAAAAAAAAAACCCTACTGGGGAAATGTTTTGTGGTCATGTCCATGGCAAATGACAAACTGCATTCTAAAAGCCTTGGAAATGACTATCAGAGATTTTTTTTTTTTTTTAAATAACATCATTACATTAAAAAAAAATTGATTTCAGAGAGGAAAAGAGAGGGAGATAGAGACAGAAACATCAATGACGAGAGAGAATCATTGATCGACTGCCTCCTTCCTTCCCCTCCACTGGGGATCGAGCCCGCAACCCAAGCATGTGCCCTTGACTGGAATTGAACCTGGGACCCTCCAGTCCGTAGGCCAACGCTCTATGCTCTGAGCCAAACCAGCCAGGACAGGAAGCAGAGTTTTACTCATCCATCCAGCTGTTCACACTCATCTCACAGCACGTCCCTGAGTTCCAGCTCAATGCAACAAGGTGAATAAAGGCCAATGCCCTCTGCCAGGGCTTCCCGCGACAGGCATGATGTGAGAGGCACCTGGAGGGCTTCCTCTCCACCTCCATTCCACTCGGAAATAGTCCCTCTGTTGCCCTGGCTGTTGCCCCTGGCTGGGTAGCTCAGTTGGTTGGAGCATTGGCCCAAACACCAAAAGGTGGCAGGTTCCATTCCAGGTCAATATTCGTTCAGTGTTCAAATTTCCCCTACTGTCACATTCATCTTTGTATGACAGTTTACTTATGTGAATCAAGATCTAAAGAGGGTCCATACCTTTCTATTATCTCTTCTGATAAATCTCTTAAATCCTGTTCAACACTCTAACAAACTGAGCTCCTGTTTGAGTAAAGAAGGGTCTGACCAGAACTGAAATTAGGTCCTGTGTCTCGCTACACATCTAATCTACAGGGACAACGGTGATGTGGGTTTGCAAGCCAATCGTGTGGCCTAGAAGAGGTACCAGCAACCTCGGTTACGGGGACTCAGGCGAAAGCTTGCTGCCACTCCCGACACCCCTCAGCCTTCCTCAGGGGCCACGCCTGGCTCCAGAAGAGCTGAGGCCAGAGCCATAAAGCGGCTTTCCTGCAATCATCTCCACCTTTACAGGGGTCTGCTTGGCTCGGGCATTCTCGGCTAAGAGCCCTAGAAAGAAAGAATTGCATCAGTCTTGGTTAATGGCCCCAATTAAGCCACGAAAACCCTTAGGGGAGCCTCCATTTTGGACATGTTACGAGACTGTAAAGAAAATATCCAAAGGAAATTAAAAGCCATTCCTATGTGAGGCTGGAATGTTATTTGGTTCCTGGAGTCAGATCCCTGAGCCAAGCTTCTCTACTGAAGCTCAAGACAAGCAGGAACATATCCCCCCAACTTCCTGGGGAGCCCGGGACCCTGGTTTTGTCAGCTCAGCACAAAGATGCCGCCCGGGAAGGAATTAGGGGGACTTCTCCCAGAGTCCCAGAAAGACCGGCATCCCCGAGGCTGGGCAGATCCGGCTTCAGTTCTCCTGGCTTCCGGCTTCCATACACCATCTCCCTCCTGCCGTTTCCCCCAGGACCTGCCCAGGGCCACAGCCAGGAGCAGAAATGTGGAAAGTGCCACCCTGGGAAAGGAGTATTGTGTACTTCCTCTCTCAGCTCGCCAAAAGCCTGCTCAGAAACCGAGTTTAAACAGGCTTCAATGGGAAAATGTTGATTGCTCCTAATACACAAAGCTCTCCAACCAATCAATTGGAAAAAGACAGACAACGCAAACTGGAAAATATTCCAAGAATATAAAAATAAAAGGTCAGCCATGGCTGGTTTGGCTCAGTGGCTAGAGCGTCAGCCTGCGGACTGAAAGGTCCCAGGTTCACTTCTGGTCAAGGGCACATGCGTTGGCTCGATTCCTAGTGTGGGGTGTGCAGGAGGCAGCCGATCAATGATTCTCTCTTATCATTGACTTCCTTTTCTTTTCTTTTCTTTTCTTTTCTTTTCTTTTCTTTTCTTTTCTTTTCAAATGAAACTTTTTATTTTGGAATAATTCTCGATTTCCACCCACTATTGCCTAGTGCACATGTGTCAAACACAAGGCCCGCGGGCCAAATCCGTCCCGCCAGGCCTTGCAATGTGGCCCACACAGCGCTGTCATCACTGCACTCCGCTGCGTTTCCATCACAATGACAGTTTATGACTGTTCAGTAAACCATTCGGCCCGCGATTTAGGCTGGATTTTAGATTTTGGCCCCTTCTCTGATTGAGTTCGACACCCCTAGCCTAGTGAGTACCGGGTTCCTGCGCACAGGTCTGCATAGCTAGTCTCTCCTGTGGTTCACAGCTTCCATAACCCCGGGGCCAACACAGCTAACAAGTGAGTGCTGGTGCCGTGCTTGAACTGGACGATAGACTTGAGCTTCCCTAGTCTTTCACTAATGGCCTTCTTCTGTTGGAGGATCTACCTATTATAGAACCCCGCACTGCTTTTAGCCCCGTCTGTGCAGTCTCTCAGTTGTCCTTGTTTTTAATGACCTTGATGAGCTTGGAGGGTGCTGTGTGGAGAGGGGCTACAGCATTTGGACAGGTTCAAGACTGGGACTAATGAGAGGACCCAGTCCTCTCGTGGCCATGTGAGTGTCCCAGCTTGGAAGGCAGAGCCTCCCAGCAAATGATAGCCAACAGCTAGAGCTGTAAGCTTGAACCTATGGTCCAAACACGTGGCCCCACTTGCCTGAGTGATATAGGCTGCAGGTAACCCAGGTTTGATCAGGTGCATGTAATGGAGTAGGATGGAAACTTTTGAGAATGCTGTAAACATCTTGACCAAGTCCTTACGTTGCCTCGTGGCATCTGCTACCAAATACAGCCTCGGCTTGTGGGCTTGGGCGCTGACTCTCAGGAAGCAGCATCCCATCGAGACCCAGTTTTCATTCTCTTGTCTGTCTTTCCAAGCTTTTCAGCTGCCCCTCTCAGGGCCGTGTGGGACAGCACAGTGAACTGATGTTTTTCTCTTTCTCTTTCTCTCCCCCTCTCCCTTCCTCTCTGAAATCAATAAAAATATATTTTTTTAAAAAGAGAAAAAGATAAAAAAAAGAAAAGAAAAAAGAGCCATCTTAGCCCTGGCTGTATAACTGAGTGTCTGAGAAGCTGAGTTCTGGCGCCAGACTCCCTGAGCTCAAATCTGGGCACCAACATATGCACGCCGGGCACCTCTCCCTGCTTCAGTTTCCACCCCTGTAAAATGCAGATAATAATAGCTCAGACCTCGAGTGGCCATTTGGGAATTATGTTAGTAATACTTGTAAAGCACTTAGGACAGGGTCCGGCATGTAGCAAACACTCTATAAATGTTAGCTGTTATTAAGACACGGGAACAAGAGGAAAGTCATAAATACCAGCCAACCGCAGTATCAGGGTCAGTTGCCAGAATGAGAACGGTACACACAAAACCTCATATGGGAATGCTTACACCACGTTCATTCATGACAGGCAGAAACTAGAAAGAAACAAGGGTGCTGTCTCTCAACACGTGGATGATTAAACAAACTGTGGTACATCCGCACCATGGCGGTTATCCCGCAATAAACAACAACAACAACAAACCATCAGCAAAATGATGGGAACAAAAGAAAAATAGATAACTAGGACTATATCAAAATTCAAATCTTCTGTGTATCAAAGGACACGGTCAAAAGACAACTGCAGTTCTTGCCTTGGTGGGTCTTTTATTTATTTATTTTATTTTTAAAAAAATATTTTTTATTGAATTTTTACAGAGAGGAAGAGAGAGGGATAGAGAGAAACATCGATGAGAGAGAATCATTGATCAGCTGCCTCCTGCACACCCCCTACTGGGGATGTGCCTGCAACCAAGGTGCATGCCCTTGACAGAACTCGAACCCGGGACCTTTCAGTCCGCAGGCCGATGCTCTATCCACTGAGCCACACCGGTTTCGGCCTTCGTGGGTCTTTTAGTTTAGCCAGGCAGACAGTCTGCAGACAGGTGTGACGCATGCTCGGAGAGGATATGGTAGAACTGAATGACAGGATGTGAAACTGCACAGTCCTCAGGGCAGACCCGCAAAGCAGTGCAGCCCTGGGCAAGCTGGACATGTTTTCTCTCATCTTTTTGTTAGAGTCCCTGGGGCCAGGCTTCAGCAGTTCGGGGAAAACATGCTTATGTAACTCTTTTGTAGCAAAGACTCATTTTTCACTTCTAAAAAAACCAAAAAAACGGAGTAGTGGAAATGTTTGTGAGATGGTGGTGATAGTGGTTTAGTTTTCTTTCTTTTCTGAGAAGTTCAGGACATCTCCTATAACCAAGGACATTCTGCATGTTATAAAACCAGTCCAGTCATTACTGATACAAAAGCTTAAACTGTGGTGGGAGCTAAATGCTAATAAAAATCAAAGTCATAGACAACCACAGGAAACTGAGTACACTTAAAAGTGTTCCTTCAGCCGAGACCGGTTTAGCTCAATGGATAGAGCGTCGGCTTGGGGACTGACCGGACCCGGGTTTGATTCCGGTATAGGGCATGTACCTTGGTTGCGGGCATATCCCCAGTAGGGGGTGTGCAAGAGGCAACTGATCGATGACTCTCTCTCATCGATGTTTCTAACTCTCTATCTCCCTTCCTCTCTGTACAAAATCAATAAAATATATTTAAAAAGAAAAAGTGTTCCTTCATACCGGTAATATCAGACTTGATTTAAAAAGAAAAGAAAAAGAAATATTCCAAAATTTCCCTTGTTGCAAGTTTACTTAAGACTTTTTGAGCTCACCTCAGAACAGAACAGAGGCTGGCCGCCTTCAAATGTGAGTGGTTTGCTTTCTGTGCCCTCCTCTTCGGCTGGGTGATTCCAAATCCTTTCACTTTTCTGCTTTCAGACCCTATGGAATGTGGCTACCTGCCAGACCTCTGGAACTAAAACTGGCCCTATCAGAGCCTTAATCTAGAGACTTAAAAAGGAGTGAGACCAGAAACCAGCAACCCACCTCTGGCCACTTCTAAGCAGGGATATCGCCAGTACATTGCTGGCTGATTGATTTAAGTTCATATGATGAGGGCTGTAGTGGGGGAAGAGGGAGGTATTTATGGGTTTTTGAGGAATCCCAGTAAGCCCATTGTCATCATATCTGAGCACGTTTTTTGTTCAAGTAAGCCGATGGAT